AATCTGTCACTGGGGTGGTACCTTTTCGAAATGTACAATTTTGTAATGGAAAGGTGGACATTAGTACTTTTAGGGTACACTTTTGTATCTTCAATGAGCTGTGAGGTACACGATTGTACTTCTTAGGTATTATTATGTACCTTTAAGGACCTGGTACAAAATGTAATTTTGGAAAAGTGACAATCCCAGTGACAGATTTTGTTCCTTTTTTGTTTCTGAGAGTGCAGTTAGTTATCATTCAGTAGCTGAACTTAAGCTTGTTTTTATTTACGGAAAGGGCTGTCAGTTTACCAGCCTAATTGAAAATTGAACCTCATTTACCCTCCCAAAACCTATATTTCATACATTCGATTAAAGATCCTGAGCTGTTTCTTTTGCATTTTTATATAAGTTTTATAATGTAAGTACAGTATCATCTGTTTTATCAGTTTTGCTGATGAAATTATTACCTTAAGGCTCTGCAGAACAGTTGTGAGTATCCAATCACAGTGGTGTTTTTTTTTTTTTTCCTTTTTGAATGAATCCTATTTTTAAACAAATCAGGTAAATCACGGTTTAAAAGACTCAGTTTGCTTAAAATATTCTTAAATTATCTTCATGTTTCATCATTAACGTTAGGCCATTGTTGCACTGTAGTTTAAATCATGAACTGTAATAAATCGCTGGTCAGATGACAAATAGACAGAAAAAAAATTGTTTAAATATTTCTAAAACACTAATTAATTTTTTTTAAAATTTATGTTCTATTTATGTATTATGTCTGATGTTTGAGAAAATATAAGGGGTCACTAATAGCAAAATAGTAAAATCAGTGATTTATCTTTATTGTTGGACTTCTCTAAATATAATGCTATTTATTTTATATGACACACTGAGGAAGGCTTTGTGTTTGTCTGTTATCACCCGTAAAATGTAAGAAAAAGTAAAAATAAAAACAGTACGAAGCAATTGAGTCCGAATCATTACCTTCTTTTGAATAATAGTAATGATAAGATTAACGCACCAAACCAAAAAAGTAACTAAAAAAAAAAAAAACGCAAACGCACAGGACAAACTTCAGTAACTCTGCATATGGATCCATGATAATTGTATTTTACATGAATGCATAATTATATAATAATCATGCATTCATGTAAAATATAAACTTCAAGGGCCCTATCATACACCCGGCGCAGTGGGGCGCAAGGCGTGGCGCAGTAGTCTTTTGGTAGTTTCAGCTTGGAGCAAGAGTGGTTTTGAGGCGTTGCGCTACGCTGTTTAAATAGCAAATGCATTAGCGTTCATTTGTGCGCCCATAGGCGTTCTGGTCTAAAAAGGAAGGCGTTCTGAGGCGGACCGCTGGCGCGTTGCTATTTTGAGAAACTAAAATAGATTTTTCATTAAACCAAAACTAACCCGGTCTAAACTCCGGCGCAGAGTTGAGCCTCGCTTATGCACTTAATAGGCACAAGAGAGCAATAGGCAAATATCTTTACATATGAAAAAAATTTTATATTAAGGATATATATAGGATATAATAAGAATAGATATAGAATATAAATATAAAGGATTCAAATAATACAAAACATATTATTTTCTAGCCTACAAAAATATTAAAAATCACTGCTTTTATGCCTTCTTCATCTCGGGAGGCTTTTTCAGTTCATTCATAACAATTTGCTTTTGTATAATGTTATTATTATTAGCAGTATTATTTATTATATCCATATTTATATTTGTTTTATTAAAAACAAGCTTAAATTTGCCCACCTGTCAGGTTTTAGACCATAAGGGGCACAGCATGTGTTTTAGGATATAACTCAGGTTTTTGAGCACACTTGGTTATTATTGTTCATTTATTCGTTTGCTGGAAATTAGAACTGAATTTAGAAATAGTTTTGAAATGAATATTTGCGCTTAACAAATGAAATTATTTATTTATAGAGTAATTGATGTCTGTGCGTAAAGGTTTCCCTATCCAAGAGCGAAAGTGAAAGTGATCCATTATCTCTCATTCTCACGCAGTAGATGCTCATCAGAGGTAAAATTTTCAGAGGAAAAGACTCTCTCCCATGGGTTTCCTTGAGAATGTGGGGTCATTTATCTCACATATCAGATTTTGGGCACAAGATAAAATAATTGTCTGTATGCATTAAAAAATGCATGCATCTGAAAAGATTTGCTACACTCTCAGAAATAACGGTGCAGGAGCTGTCACTGGGGCAGTACCTTTTCAAAAGGTACATATTTGTCCCTGAAGGGTCCACAATGGTTCCTCAAAGGTACATTTTAGGTACATTTGGGCACTAATATGCACCTTTGAGGTACTATTGTGGACTCTTTAGGTACAAATATGTATCTTTTGAAAAGATACTGCCCGTGACAGCTCCTGTACCTTTATTTCTGAGAGTGCAGAGACTTTATCTTGAGTTCTGAGAAGAAAGCTTATTTTATGCTGATAATATCTAAATCTTAAGATTTTGTTTGTTCGTTTAGCTTTTTAACAATTGTTTTTATCAGATGACATGTACTGTATGCTTCACACATTGAGATGTAATTGTTACAATAAGCAGAAATAGCCTTTAAGGAAACAATAAAGATCAATGTCACATAGAGGGCAGAGGCAGAGCTCAGCTTACGAACACCTTACGTAACATTTGCAGTTGCCGATCCTTTCAAAAGAAGCTGTAGTCGATAAACCAAGAGATTGAGACAGATTAAACTGATGTAGATAAGTGGCACATAACTGAAATCATGTGTTACTGCTGTGACAATGTAGAAAATAAGCTTTCCTCTCCACCTTGCTATTCTTGTTCTGTGACTAACTGTGATTAGTCAGTGCAGTTCTGAATGAAGAGGTTTAAAATAATTAACCAGCCACAGCACCACTTGGCGACCTAATTTAAGTAAACTGATTTTTCAGTTTATTGTGCAGTGAAAACATTAATATAAAAAACTATGCAATAAGTGGAATAAATGAAGAGGAGGGAGGGGGGATGATATCTGTTTGAGAAAATGGATGTGTGGCATGAGAATACTGTCAATTGCGTGAGTCTTACACCAAATGTGTGTGAGTTGGCAGCCCCAAAGTTATCAAAGGATGCCAATGGTCTAATCTGATTCAATGCTCTATGCCACTGATCATCAACTGGCGGGCTGCGGGCCAAATCCGGCCCGCTGAGCCGTTCAATCCGGCCTGCCACTGGATTCCAAAATTGTGAGGATCAAAAAGAAAATTGTGGTCCACACTATTAAAGCAACTGAAAATAACAACAACTGTGTCTCTTGTCAGAATAACTACCATTTGCCTATATTAAGGCTACACTCCGAAATGAGGACAGACTATGCGACGTTAAGCATTTATTGTTTAAAACAGGTTTTAAAAAAAAAAAAAGGGAGGCATAATTTTCCTCATGCCCTTACTTAACATTTGTTTTTTATTTCTAAGTCTCAACAACATGCTTGAAACTAGCAGACTCCTCAGGACAGGACAGGACAACTTAAAACAGCATGGTAAATAAATAACCTGGAACCAGAACAAAACAGGTCACAAATAAAGTTCGCACATCAAATGAAACGTCAAGTAGACTTGAACTCAAATAAACAATGCTGAATCGGCCTACTCACAGTGCCTAATCAATGGCTAAAGCTACATTTCCCCTCTGACACCAACATTTTCACACCAGGCTTGGCGGCTGTCAGACTTTTCAATGTGTCATAGGTCTCAGAACAGGATACCCAAAATGCGCTCAGGCTTTCAACACCGGAGAGCCGCGTTCACATCGCCTGCAGCCTAAGTTACAGCCAGCTAGCTCTGAATGGCCGCCTCGCCAAATGGCAGCATTTTCACAGCGTTTGTGGAGAATTTTCTATCACTCCTAGTGGTTGACTGTGGTATAGGTGATAGGAGCCCTAATCAAATGCCTTCAGCTTGTAATGAAATGGACAAAGTATAAACATTGAACATAATGTAAAGCCAAAGTTAGATTTTTATTTGATTTTCTTCTTGGCAGTCCGGCCCCCAAGGAGACTGTCTGGTACAACTCTGGCCCTCTGACAAATATAGTTAATGACCCCTGCTCTATGCTAAGCTAAGCTAAAGGTGCTCCTGCCAGACCCAAAGACTGGCTGACTGGAAAACTCAACTGTGACTTGCATGAGCCCATTTCCCCCCAAAACAGCTACCATTCCCTCAGACCCAAACATTGATGTTTTCAAAAGGGTAAAATAAATGATCTGATGGACATTTTGACCTGAAACTTCACAAACACATTCTGGAAATGCCGAAAACTTGTCTTACATCTTATGAAAATGGAAAAATGGAAGCCCTTAATCCCTTTTTTTGGCATCAGAAAAGTTTACCTATCTGTTGATGAAGCTAACCCAACTTTGCATTGATATTCTCAACCAATTTTTGGAGTAAATTTGGAAACTTTCAGTGGCTTACAAACCTATTTTAAAACATTTGGAAAATGCACACTGGTAACTCTTTACAATAAGGCTGTATTAGTTCATTTTAGTCAATACATTTAACAGTAAACAACACTTTTCTTACAGTATTTGTTCATGTTAGTTGATGCTACTTAATGAAGGTACAGTTGTTCAATAGTTTGTTAACTCAAAGTGCGTTACTAATGTTAACCAGCATGAATTTGTATTTTACTAATGCAACAGTGAATGTTCAATCATGATGAATGAATGCTGTACAAGTATTGCTCATCAATAGTTCATGCTAGTAAATGAATGAACTAATGAAACCTCACAGTAAAGTGTGACCTGCATGCTGCTTTAGCTCTCTATCATGAGACTGTCAAACTTGAAAGTGAAATGGTCATGGAGCGCAACCCTCATGGAGGAATGCAATAGTTCAAGTTCAAATGGCTATGATTTGGAAAATATTCCAATATGATTGACAGCCAGCAATGTGGTGATTGATTGGAATGTAGACTAGATTTTTTAAAAATCAGAATCAGTAAGGATGAAGGTGATACACCCACTCCAGGTGAGCAGCGGAGAGCCTTCAAAAAGGAGAGAAGGAAGCAAAGTCATTATAATTCTGCAGACAGACTTGAGAAACAAGTCGAAGAGGTACAGTCAGACTGGAGCTACCTTTGTGTGATTGATTTATGCCATTTCTCATAAGCTTCTATTAACGGGACTGCTTTATTGTGTGATTAAGATGATTGCCTTCCTGCTCGCTTTCCTTGCTGCACTTCTGTGTGAATCCGTCCACAGTGAAGGCTCTTCAGTAGGTGAGTGTCATTGAAAGTTCATTTACTCAGCGAGAGTCTAGTTTCATCTAATTGAATTCATCTGTTTCATTTTTAATTATTTAATTGAACAATTTGGGTTTACTAATGCTGTCATTTCACCCCAAACAGCATGGTGCTATAATGACCCAGCGTGCAGTAAGTTTTAATTTTTTATTAAATTATTAAAATTGTCAAAACATTGAATATTAGGGCTGTTTGCAGTAACATTCGTTTTTAAGGCAAGATGTTGCAGGTGAATAGGGTAAAAACACTATTATCACTGTAGTTTTAATATGTTAGAATTATGAACATTTTCCTGAAATCCTTCAGAATATGGATTGGAGGAACACAGTGAAATTGGGTGTACAGTGAGCTGCTGAAGGGGAGATCATTTGAGAAAAAAGCTAATTTTGGGAATTAAGAAAAAACGAATTTTTGATTGAAATCTACTTAGACTGATTAATAAAATGTGATGTGTTTCAAATGTTTCCTAATATGAATTGAAGTTGAAATCTGCAGATTTTTGATAAAGTGATGATATACTGTTTTAAATGTTTCCATTAGAATGAAATAAATAAATAAATAAATAAATAAATGAATGAATGAATGAATGAATGAATGAATGAATGAATGAATGAATGAATGAATGAATGAATGAATGAATGAATGAATGAAAAGTCAAAAAGCCCAAAAATTGCAAAATTGGGAAAAAGTGTTTTTCCTACAGTGTCTCACCTTGATATTCATGCTTAATATCACTGCACAGTATAATCAAAACATGCTCTAAAGCTTATTTTTATCCTTTATTGAACTAGATTTTACCACCTGGCCTGAACTTGCTCCCCATCACTGCAATGGATCCAGCCAATCTCCTATTAACATTGTCACAGCACAAGTTCAGGAAAATCCTAACCTGACCCAGTTTAAATTAACTGGTTTTGATGCCAACACCACCTTCACATCAATTACAAATTCTGGCGTCTCTGGTAAGGGGCGCTGCACACTGGAAAAACTATTGTTTCTTCATTTGGTCACACTTTATTTTGATGGTCCTTTTGTTTACTTAAATATAGGTTATGTTGCATCTACATGCCAACTTATCCTCCTTAGATTATAAGTAGACTGTTAGGTTGGGTTTAGGGTTGCGGTTAGAAGCAGACAGTCTACTAATACTCTAATGGACCATCAAAATAAAGTGTTACCCATCATTTTCTTTTGATGAAATGTGGTTCATCATATTGTCGTTCCAATTCTCCAAGATTTTTGTTCATCTTCAAAACACAAACTAAGATATTTTAGATGAAATCCAAGAGCTCTCTCATTCTCCATAAACAGCAACGGTCCCGGGATGTCCAGAAAAGGAGTCAAAAACATGTCAAACCTTCCATGTGACTTCAGTGGTTCAACTGTGATCATACAAAGTGCCAAGAAACTGTATAAGAATTTGTTTGCATTTGTTTTTCATGTCAGGTCAGGGTGTGCATTTATTATGGGCAGTAAGATGTATTGCCATTGGAGTCAACACTGATTTTAAGCGGAAAACAAGCGGAATTTATATTTTTGGGCAAGCTGTGTGTTCTTGGAGCTTTATATGACTACAGTTGAACAACTGAAGCCAAATAAAATGTTTTGACAGTAATTTTGCTTCCAGTTCTGGATTTTGAACATCCGTTGGGGGATGAGAGATAGTAGAGTCTATAGCTGCACAGTTTTAAAAAAAAATCTATTATATCAGATTATCAGCAATATTATCATTATATTATCAGCAATTATCAGCAATAAATGTTTAGTTAATAGCAATAAATATTGCAATATGAACACAGTTTTAGAGTCTAACAGTATTCAGGTACTGAACTTGAATAATCACTATACAAAAAAAAGCTTTCCTTATATGCTTTGTCTCATTTCTTGTCCAAATATCAGAAAATTCATACAGCAAGCAAAAATAGTGTTTTGTTTTCATCTTCAGAAGGAATTAAGTCAACATTAAGATATTTTTATGAAAACAAACAAAATTATCTGTCAGTGGGGTCAGTAAAATAATCTTGTTTTCACTTTGAAATATAGATATTTGGACTAGAAATAAGACAAGTAACACACACAGACACACAGACACACACACACAGCATCTTGTGATTTAAGGGCAATGTGGTGGCACATTGGTAGGTAGTGCAGTCGCCTCACAGCAAGAAGGTCACTGATTCGTACCTCGGCTCAGTTGGCGTTTCTGTGTGGAGTTTGCATGTTCTCCCTGCGTTTGTGTGGGTTTCCTCCGGGTGCTCTCCCACAGTCCAAAGACATGCAGTACAGGTGAATTGGGTAGGCTAAATTGTCCGTAGTGTATGAGTGTGTGTGTGTGTGTGTGTGTGTGTGTGTGTGTGTGGATGTTTCCCAAGAGATGGGTTGCTGCTGGAAGTAAAAACATCTGCTGCGTAAAAACATGCTGGATAAATTCTGCTGTGGCGACCCCGGATAAAATAAAGGGACTAAGCTGACAAGAAAATGAATGATTTGCCTATTGTGGATGTGCACATTGCAATGCAGATGCTGAAACAATATATTGTGCTGCCCTAGAAGAGTCAGACATTATGATGCTCAACATTGATGTACTACTGTATATTACCCCTTTCACAGTGGTCGTCAACTTGGATGATAAAATAATGTCAGTGCAAGGAGGCGATCTTCCAGGTCTCTACGTTTCTAAAAATTTTCATCTTCACTGGGGCAGCGGCAGCTCCTTGCCTGGATCAGAACACACTGTGAATGGCAAACAGTATGCAATGGAGGTATGAGTGGATTCATTTTCCCTGTGTTATTTCACCCTCCTGTGAATTTTCTTTTCTTTTTCAAATATTTCCCAAATGATGTTTAACAGAGCAAGTATTTTTTTCACAGTATTTCCTATAATATTTTTTCTTTTAGAGAAAGTCTTAGTTATTTTATTTCGGCTAGAATAAAAGCAGTTTTTAATTTTTTAAACTTATTTTAAGGTCAAAGTTATTAGCCCCCTTAAGCAATATTTTTCCGATTGTCTACAGAACAAATCATCAATGGCTTGTCTAATTACCCTAACTTACCTAATTAACCTAGTTTAGTCTTTAAATGTCACTTCAAGCTGTATAGAAGTGTCTTGAAAAATATCTAGTCAAATATTATTTACTGTCATCATGGCAAAGATAAAATAAATCAGTTATTAGAGATGAGTTGTTAAAACTATTCTGTTTAGAAATGTTTTGAAAAAATCTGCTGTCCGTTAAACAAAAATTGCGGAATAAATATACAGGGGGCTAATAAATCTGACTTCATCTGTATTTCTTAACAAAACTGCCTTAGATTCATTGTATGTGTTTGTATGTGTGGATTTCAGCTGCACATTGTAAATGTCCATTCAAAATACAACGGGAGTGTTTCTGTTGCTCTAGCTGCTCATGACAGCTCAGCGCTGGCTGTTTTGGGTTTCTTTATTGAGGTGAATTCTTACACATTCACTATTTATTATTACTGATTATAGATTAAAGTACAGACCTATGAAGTGAATGAATATGTTTTGACCAACAGGGAACTGATGAAGCAAACAAAACAAAGGGTTGGGATGTCTTGACCTCCTTTCTGACGAAGATCCCGAATAAAAGTAAGACATTTAGTGTCAGATGGTTGGGAGAGGTGATCATCAGTTTTGTGAGTGGTTGCTTAAAGCGATTGTTTATATATAAAAAACTGTTAATGTACGGACCATCAGGTCATTCACCACAAACAAAATGCTTTTCACACTTAATTTTTTTTGTCTTTTTTTTTTTGTCTTTTAAATATCTAAACATTCTTAAATTATGATGCATTTTCTAGCAGTGCAAAACATATTGTCTTGTTTTAAGAATTAACATGCCAAAGTTAAGTAAAATTTTCCTTAAAAGAAGCAAAATAATCTTTCAATTGGGTAAATAAAATAATCTTATATCTTCTGCTAAACTAGATTATTTTGCTTATCTCATTGGCAGATTATTTTGCTTCTTTTAAAGAAAAACTCACTTAATTTTGGCTTATTATTTCTAAAAACAAGACAGTAATTTTTCCTTGTCTAGAAAATGCTTGGTGACTACTGACTTGCCTTATATGAATAACAAGGATAATGGATTTAGCTAAAAAAATTGGCTAAAAAATTAATTATCTATTATCTAACAAATTTATTTTATTTAATGTTCTACTGATTAAAAGGCAACTACATCCTCAATGGTCTGAGGGTGAGTACATCTGTACATTTTAATTTTTGGTGCACTTTCACTTTCTAGTTCACTCTAAAAAAGTTTTAATCATTATTCACCCTTATATCATTCTTTTTTACTCTAAAACACACACAAAAATATATTTTAAGACATAATCTGCATGAAATAGTAGTCATATTTTGCATATTGTGGCACATCAGAGTCAAGAAAATAAATGGAGAAAGCAATGTAGGGTGGGGCGTTTTCTGTCATTTGTAAATTGATTGGATAGTTGACATTTGCTTCAAGTGGAACTCGTGTGATTGACAGCTTGATCCCGCCCTTGCACCATCATGAGGGATGAGTTTTTAAAGATACTTTAAAGAAAATAATTTGGTAAAAAAATGATGTGCAGAGTAAAATGTTTAAAAAATATGGCAAAACAGTTCTTCATTTTAATTTGATGCTGAATTTTTGCTTTGACTAAAACAGAAAATCAATACGATCCAATACAACATTGTGCAGACATTCTGTTTGTCACAAAAGAAAGGGATTATAAAAATAAAAAAAAGCAACGATACATTTATTAATCTTTTGAGTCAAACTGTAAAAAAATGTTTTATCGAATGCTTTAAATGCCTTTTTTTGCAAATATAAACGTTGATAAATTTAGTTGATCTTTCTGTTCTAGCAAAAAAAAAGACAAATCAAATATCTTATTAACTGTCTTAATTTTTTTTATATGTGTAGATGATACAACGGTTGACATTATGAATCAAATCACAATGAACAGTCTGCTTGAAGGGGTGGACAAGACTAAATATTATCGCTACCAAGGCTCTCTGACCACACCAGACTGCAATGAAGCTGTCATTTGGACAGTGTTTAAAGAGCCCATCAAAGTCAGTAACAACTTGGTAAGTCAAGGCATCTGTATCATGCACTCATAGAAATTCTGAAATATCAGGGGATTTTAAAAGGTCCATTTCAGAAAACGAAAGTTTGGGAATTTTTATATTTCATTGTCCAGATCAGGGATATCTCTGGCGTGGGACATTTTCAAAAGAACATTTGTACAGAAAGTGTCTGAATTGGATAATATACATTTAAGAGCTTCAGAATGACCACTTCAAAGACTGGCTGATAAAAAGTATCAACAGAAATGTAAAACTACTATTGAGATAGCGATTACAAAAGAGGGAGCGCACATACAGCAAATACCTCAGATATTTTCAAAATCAACCATCTGCCGATTTTTCATCTCATTGTGAATGTAATTTTTTAATAAGAGGACTAGGAGCACAATCTCATTTGAATTTAAAGTGACAGTCACCAAAACGGTGCAACTAGGATCAAAGGTTAAAAGGTGTTGTTTTAAAGAGTTATAAAACATTACTTGTATGGTATTTTGAGCTGAAACTTTACATACACACAGGCTCATTTTGAAAATGTAGCTCTATATACATATTTGGAGATCGCGAGTTATGTAGCCAGAAGTACGTATGGCTGCCTTTAATTTTTTAAACGAACACTACGGGATGGTATGACGCGTTCCTTTTCGCGCTTACCAGTTGACTGCTTAACTCCGTATAGAAGGCTTTCAGGCTGTTTGCACTTTGTCCCGTTAGCTCACCAACTAGGTCACTGGACTTGAGACAGAGAGAAGTGATGACCATGACGACGAGGTTTGAGTTCAGTAAGAGAACAGTTCCAGAAAGCAGGTAAGACAAAAACACAAGCCAAAAAATAAAATGAACAAGTGAATAACTGGGTGAGAATGTGGTAAAATCTGAAAACGTGGTAAAAGTCAGACAAGGGCTTTTGTTTTTCTGGATTGCTTTTTAAAACACTGTCGTTTGGGTTTAGGGAAGGGGGTGGGCGAGTCAATCAGTGCTTTTTAAAACACTACTGGTTGGGTTTAGGGAAGTGGGAGGATGGAAAATCACACAATCTCACGACAATTCGTAACTTTTTGATTCAGTGGCTAATTCGTATGAATTCGTACGATTTAATCCGTACAATTTAGCATGATTTGCTCATCCCCCAATGACGGTTGGGTTTAGGGGTGGGGTTAGGTGCCAATTAGCCACTGAACTGGCAAAACGTAAAAAACGTACGTTTTTCTCGTGAGATCATGCTGGTCAGTTGGTCAGTCAGGCAGTCGACAGTAGCCTCTGGTGGATTTACGAGAGAACAGCAGGCGCGAATGGCACTTACGAGAGAAATTTGAGATCTGAAAAAGTGTACACAGTGGCCTCTGGTGGATTTGCGAAAACAATAACTGTGAAAAAAGGTAGTTCCCGGGATGTATTTGACGGTCTCCAGAAATGTATATAGAGGTACGTTTTCAGAAAGAGTCTGTGAAACAACACAATTCTTGAGTTTTTTGGTGGTGACAAATTAATTGTTTTATATTCAATCCACTTAAATTTCTTAAAACTATATAAAGTTAAAACTAAAGTTAAACTAAAGTTAAATATTTTTTTAGCATTGTCCTAACACACATTGATTGTATGGAAAGCAGCATTTTTACAGTGTTCTGCACAACATCATCTGCATATTCTTCAGTAAAAAACAGCTGTTAATTTATTCCCACCCACAAACAGATCAACCGCTTCAGTACAACAGTGTTTACCAAAACCACAAGTGCTCCAGTTCTGATTTTTAACAACTTCAGAGGAGTTCAGCCTCTGAATGGCAGAGTGGTGACATCTCAGGTGGAGCAAACCGGTTCCTCCGCAGCTCCCTTATCACCCACCACATCCATTTCATCCTTCACCCTGTTACTGCTCTTGTTCAGTTTGTGTTGCCTGTAAATATACTATTTGTGATTTTATTTAAATAATTGGACTTTAATTAATTTATTTCCCTGCTGCATTGTTTACATTTTCTGCTATTTTTGTGCATCTTGTTACATGGAGGTTCCTTTTTGTACCTGTTGTATTTCTGCTTCTATAATCTGTATTTTGAAATGCTTTAAAGTCTTTAAGCTATCATTTAAAAAAAAAAAACTTAATTTAAACCAAGTTTAAATAGTTTAGACTTTTGTGACTGTACATTCATGGTGTGAGAATAAATTAGACTTTTTGGTTCTGGAGTGTAATTATGCCATTGTAGTTTTTCCAAACATGTTTGCATCAGTAACGACCTTTAGCTTTATTTGAGTCAAAAAATATGGATTTAAGGGTGAAAAAGATTTTGTTAAACACCTCAGCCTGATTTGAAATGCATGTTTAAAGTCTAAAGTGGAGTTTCTTAAATGTGTTCATTGTACACTCTTTTGGTATTGACATGGTGGGTTTTGACAACATGTGGAGTGGTGTGTACAGTTAAAACAAATAAAGCCAAACAAAAAGAACTGTGAATCGTTGTCTTCTGTAGATGACTAAATCTAGTGGAAATGTTTTTAGGATTGATAGTCTCATGCCGTACCAACTGAGCTATTGTTCAGGAGGGCAATAAGGGGTGGGGCTTTCCATACCGGAAGTTGAACCCTGGCTGCCTAAATGAAAGCCAGGAGTATTTTCCTGTTTTAGGACATTTTTTTTTAAAGATTAGAAATTTTACATAGGTTTGGGTACATTTTTGCTAGGTCTTTTAACATCATCAGTCTGTATTGCAATAGTGCGCTAAAACACCACTAACAAGGTGGTAAGAAATGAAAACGTTTTAGCACAACACCATTCATTTGAATTTGTTTGAATGCTATTTTACATGGCATTTATTGCCATACTTTCTCTTTAACTAATACTGTTAAATAGATTTAATCTGTACTAATTAGACTGTAAACCTTACCATTTCGCTGGAGTGCACTATTCTGTGCTTCTGAATGGCCGTATTTAAAATTCTGTCATGTTTTGTCTGGTGCAAACAATCTAATTATTCGATAGAGTTCGAGTCAGGTGAAGAAAAGTTCCAGAAAGCAGGTACACTCTTAGATATAAAGGTACACGAGTGGTCACTGGGGTGGTACATTTTCAAAAGGTTTAAATTTATACCTAAAAGGTCCATATTAATACCCCAAGGGTACATATTGCTACCTAAAAAGTACAAAAGGGTTCCTATTTAAAATTGTAGGCACTAATATACTTCTGAGGTACCAATATGGACCCTTCAAGTACAAATGTGTGTGACAGCTCTCGTACCTTTATTTCTAAGAGTGTAAGACAAAAACAAAAGCCAAAAAATAAAATAAACAAGTAAATAACAGGGTGAGGAGGTAGTAAACGTGGTAAAACTCAGGCAAGGGCTTTTCTTTTTCTGGATTTCTTTTTAAAACACTGTTGATTACTGCTTTTTAAAACACTATTGGGTTGGGTTTAGGGAAGGGGGAGGGTGGGGTTATCGGCCGGTTGGTCAGTCAGTCAGTCAGTCGACAGCGGCCTCTAGTGTATTTACGTAAGAACAGCAGGCGCGAATAGCACTCGTGAGAGAAATTTGACATCTGAAAAATCATACAAAGCGGCCTCTAGCAGATTCGCAAAAACAAAAACTGCAAAAAAAATTAGCTCCTGAGACATATTTGGCACTCTCCAGAAATACAAGGGTACATTTTCAGAATGAGTCTGGGTTGACCAGAACTACTGTCTCAATTCAACAAATTGATTGTGAGCCATTAAAGATTTCGAGCTCATTTTGAGGAACATGTTCAGTAATGATTGAAAAGCTTTTTTACTGAAATGGAAAAAATGTGTTTTCATAAAAACTCTGTATGATGTTTCTACTTAAGTGAGAAACTTTTTATTTTTGAAGGGGATAGACAAATGTACTTTAATTGAGTGACTTACAATATGTTCAGGCAGTGGCGCCTGCAGCCATATGGCTGTACGCACTATGCGTACCTACCATCAGAGGGCGCTAATTAATGCTTCTTTTTATTTATTTATTTATCACATAATTTCAATTGATTATTAAACAGCATACACTACGATATATTGACAAAGCAAGAAAGAATGACAACAAATAGAGGTGTGCGCTTGTGTGCTTCAAAGCGTTTTCCGCACCTTAAAATTACCATTCAGATAGCTATTGTTTAAAACAAGGTTCAAAACGAGCAAACGCTCTTTAAAACAGCTGAGCTTAATTAAGACATTTGCCAAAAGGCCTAAAACTAACGAGACCAATACTGATCCCCCACACAGAGCGGAGACCGTCTCATCAGCACCTGAGCCATGGAAACTGTCTCTTTTAGACCAGATCCAGCTGCTGCGCAGCAATCTCTCATGGAACCGCTACCACTCAAGGTGTTTTAAACAATTTTATCTCACAGACTGGCATAAATAAACAGACATCTTCATTCTCACAACGAGTTTCTGAGTTTTCTCCCCTTTCAACCGAGTTTGTTCCACCGAGGTAATATGGGAACATGTTCAGTGCTGTTGCGAATACTTTGTAAACGCCTGTCCTGCTCACTCAAATTATTTATATTAATTTTTTAATATGCCCCAATTTTAAAGATTACATCTTGAGCGTTTGGTTTTTCCTTGGTGCTGATGTGCTTTTATTACATTTAGAGTTTGACCAAATTTTAAAATTAAAATAGAAAATGAATTATGTCATAATGAACGCCCTTAAATACTGTCTTTGGTAGTAAGCATCCGTGTTTCTTGACATGACTGGGGAAAGGGGCGGGTGGTGCTGGATTAGTGCGTATCTTGGCATAAAATCCTGCAGGTGCCCTTGTGGTTAGGTACATTTAAAAACCATTTTATACTCTGACTCATTATGTGTAATGTGTTTTATGTTTGTTCCTTTATAATTTCCATATTATCTGTGGGCCAGATCAAAATGAGTGTATTTGTTAAACATCAACAATAAATGTAAACACAACTTGTTTTCAGTGCATCAGTATATGCTTAAAGTTGTATGTCAACTCAAAGTATTGGTAATAAAGTGTTGATGCACATCTACACAAAATGGCTGCTGTAAAGACATTAACACAGCTGATTTCACATGCTCCCCATGTAAACAGACAACAGACAGGTAATGTGGTGAAGTTTGTTAGAATACTTTTTGATTCTGCTTCAGTTTTTCTTGTTTTAACATTAGCTTCTAGATCATGTTGTACTGATAGTACAGGGATAAACACAGGCTGATGTTTATGAGAAAAACATGCACCAACATGACACCTTTCCTTCTCCCTCACAGAAAGTGGATTCATTCCCGCACAGTAGGATGCCAGATAGGCCTGGGTGGCAGCATTTGACCCTAAATGTTTTTAAATCAAACAACTTTTTTTTTTTTTTTTTTTTTTATGTATTGAAGGACATCTCGGCCGGCTAGCCAGTTTTGCATGTGTATGACCCTGATTACACAAACTATTTACTGGCATTCCAACTTTGCCAATACACCCGTAAACCTGAAACCTCCTCCTTACACTCACAGACTGGAAGACTGCAGACAGTCAGAAGAGGAGATTGAGGTAAAGCTGGTTTTATATTCACACATTCAGACTTTCTCCTTAATAATATGATTTCAGAAAAGTATTCTTTGCAAATTCTACATCAGAGGTGTCAAACTCAATTCCTGGAGGGCCGAAGCCCTGCACAGTTTAGTTCCAACCCTGCTCCAACACACTTACCTGTAGGTTTCAAACAAGCCTGAAGGACTCAATTAGTTTGATCAGGTGTGTTTAATTAGGGTTGGAACTAAACTGTGCAGAGCTGCGGCCCTTTTGGAACTGAGCTTGACACCTGTGTTCTACATAGTGAAATCATATTAGTAGCCAATGGCTATCAAAGTACAACATTGTTCACAGTCAAATAAACAGTGTTAATGTTGTTCTGAAGTCATGCTAATGCATTCATCACTAGAGTTTGAGCAGGCAAAAGTCTGTCATACTGCTCTGCGAAAAGGTGCGGGGTTAAAAAATATGATTAGACATTTAGAAAAGCGAGCGATTGGTCAATGTTTAAAGTTTTTGTAAAGAGAGGTCATGTTTTAATCTTTGATTGGTCTCACGCAGCCACATGATGCAATTTCGCAGGTCAGAATACACCAAGCAATGCAGAGAACTGCAAAACTTGTCGCACAAGCTTGCGTTTCCGGTCTAATGCATTCGTCTGCGTATGAATGGAAGTTTATGGGGCGAAAAGTCCAGTGTGATCGTGGCTTTACATGTAATTTCAGACTGAGGTCAAATCCCAATTCTAGTTTTGTACCCCTACTACCCCTCCTCCTTGGCCCTTTGAAACAAAGTGTGAAAGGGAAGGGCTGCAAAATGTACCCCTATAGGCTGGTTTATACTTCTGCATCAAGCACACACGTATGCTACGGCCCTGACGCATAGCCCTATATAAATGTAACTACACGTCTCAACGATGCGTAGCGCAAGCTCTGTGATTTTTCGTAGCTCTGTGATTGGTCGGCTTGGTTGCGCTGGCGAGTCTGGGCGGGACCAAGAGCCGCGCGACGGGCACGAGCCCAATGGAGCGATTGTTTACAAGTGTGGAGTCCTGTGAAGGAGCTCCGGATGGAAAGTTTTGTTTTGTGTTTACCTCATAGTTAAAGTCCTTGCACATCCACCGGTTCCTGCCTCAAAATGAGCGAGTTTGAGCTACTTGTACATCCCGGAAGCGTTCAGAAAGAACAAAACACAGGCGAAGAAACTAGACACAGAGACACATTAACACCTCACTGCCAACTAGCGTTTTGGAAGTGTTAATTCAGACCAACAAAGACAGTGCGCAGAAAAATAAATGCACAGCTACCTGCGTTGCATGCGCCGTGGGTTACGCCGGTCACTTGACGCAGAAGTATAAACCAGGCTTAAGAAATGGGACACCACTACATTACCTGCACACGTCATCATATGTCATTGCTCTCTTGCTCTTGCTATATGAGACTGACGATCATGACTGCTGTAGTTATTTTTGATTTTTATCTTCAGGAAATCACTGAACGATTTCATGTAATTGTAACGATATAATGTGTCAATAAGCACGTAACTGTATAGTACATTTTCACAGTGGCCACATTTATGTAAACATCAAAAACAACACTAACATTATAGCAGACACTGTAAAAAGTTAATTCTCAGCTACTAGACTTTTCTGACAGGGGATTCGAGTGTCATTGAGTGACAGAATGTTGTGGTACTGCTGTACAGGAGTTATTATTAGATCGGGAAATGTGTGTTTTTATTTTAGGATTTTTTTTAAAGCATGAGGTAAAACACGAATGCGGTAATGAATATTTTAAAACATGTGATTGTTTGTTGTAAAAATTTTAATGATGACAAAAAATACTAAATTGTGCATCTCCTGACTTCCGTGTGCAGCCATGCTGCTGTTGTGGCTGGTGTGTTCTAGGAAAATTTCTTACCCCTTAGTTTCGAATGTGGTCCTGAAAAATCTCTGTTTCAAGGGGTATCTAGCCCTTCCCCTTAGCCCTACGCCTTCAAGTTAAAGAGAATTGGGACACCACTAACGCTTCATGTGAACGCACAAAACGAGGGGTAGGGGTAAGGGCTAATAGGTAGAATTCGGCCTTAATATTCAAAGTATCATGGTAAACAATATAGAGAGCATGTCACAAGTTGTCACTGAATGAATGTCCAAATATTCTCAGAGATGGGTTGCGGCTGGAAGGGCATCCGCTGCATCAAAACTTGCTGGATAAGTTGGCGGTTCATTCCGCTGTGGCGACCCCGAATTAATAAAGGGACTAAGCCGACAAGAAAATGAATGCATGAATGAATGAATGAATGAATGAATGTCCAAATATATAAAACTAACTTTACCGCAATGGAGAGGAGCGCTGTTGTAAAAATTACAACTGGTTGAGAGCCAACATCAAACCATATATTGCAACAAACCTTACTAGAAATCCATCTAATCCAAATCGGACTGTAACACAGTTGAACAATCATTCTTGCGACATACTGCATTATAAATCTAATGCCTAAAGCAGCTGCCCAAACCTGTGACAGGGTAAAACAGCTTAAACATTTGTTAAACAGCAACACAAATGTGAAAACAACTTGTTTTCAATATATCACTGTGATAAAAATTGTATGTGAACTCAAAGAATTGATTAAGGGCCTACTCACACCGTGCCTAAGCCCGCTTCCTGGATCGTTTGAGAAGTAGTGTGAGTGAAAAACACGCCTAAGCCCAAAACAGAAGACGAGACGTGAGTTTTAAGGGACTGTTTGATATGGATTTATTAATCATTCTTAACGTTAAATGAATGCAAACTGTAGTTTATTAAAGATGTAAACCCCTCACTGCACGACAGCTGCACCTTCAGCAAACCTCCTAATTTCCTGCAGCTCGAGGGCTTTATGATTGTTTATGAGCTTCAAAAGTGGCGGATCTGTTCTGCGAAATATTTGACTGCGTCACTGTAAATCAAACGACTTAAACGATATAACTAAAGAAATCTCCACTGTGCTGAGCGAGAGCGCTTACTGAACAGCGCAGCATCGATGACGCAAGCGCGCCCAGGCCTGAATGTAATGTGAGTGCGGGCCGTTGGGGGAGACGGGAAGAGGGACAAGCGTGCTTTTGCCCGGTTCAAGGCAACTGTGCTTAGTGTGAGTACACCCAAATACGTCTGGATGCTTATCTACATGAAATGGTTGTCGTAAAACTATTAACACAAACACACTGTGGCTGCTCACACACCATGTTAATGAGAAAAAAAGAATGAGATGGAAATGCTTGTTTGAATGCTTTTTCTTTATTCATTTTCCTTCGGCTTAGTCCCTGATTTATCAGGGGTCACCACAGTGGAATGAACCACCAATTATTCCAGCATGATTTACGTGGCAGATGCTCTTCCAGCTGCAACCCAGTAATGAGAAACACCCACACACTCGCATTTAACCACACATAGACTACGGACAATCTACTTAATCCAATTCACCCGTAGAGCATGTTTTTGGATTGTGGGGGAAACCGGAGCACCCGGAGGAAACCCCCAACATGGGGAGAACATGCAAACTCCACACAGAAATGCCGAATGCCCCTGCCAAGCCCACAGACCTTCTTGCTGTGAGGCAACAGTGTTAACCACTGAGCCCCCAAGCCACCCTACAGTCATTTTAGTTTATTCAATACTCCATAGCGCATGTCTTTAGAGTGTGTGGGAAACCAGAGGACTCAAAGAAAACCCACGCAATCACAGGGAGAACATGCAAACTCCACAAAGAAATGCCAGGCCAGGACGTCTTGCTGTGAGGCGACGGAAACATTTACCTTCCTGCGGATGAAGCTAACCCAACTTTGCATTGCTAATCACAACCATTTATTTGAGTTATTTAGGAACTTGACAACGAACAAGCTTATTTGAAAACATTTGAAAAATGCACACTGCTTCTGCTCTCCATCATGAAAAGGTTAGACCCAGAAGCAATATGACAACCATTATGGAGGAATACAATAATACACGCGCTGACAGCAAAGAATTTGATAATATTGTTCATGTGGTGTTTGATTGGAATGTTGGCTAGTTTATGTATTTGTATTTGAAGATGACACACCCACCTCAGGTGAGCAGCGGAGAGCCTTCAAAAGGAGGGAAGGAAGCCAAGTTGTCATAATTCTGCAGACAGACTGGAGAAACAAGTCGAAGAGGTACAGTCATACTGGAGCTCCCTTATAATTAATATCATTTCTCACATAAACTTCCATTAACGGGACTTCTTTATTTAGATGATTGCCTTCCTGATCTCCTTCCTTGCTGCACTTCTGTGTGAATCTGTCCACAGTGACAACTCTGCAGTAGGTGAGTGTCATTGAAAGTTCATTTACTCAGCGAGAGTCTATTTTCATCTAATTGACTCGTAGGAAAGTAGTGAATATCTAAAAATAAGCTCTTGAAAATTAACTGTTTCACTTGATTTTGAGATTACTAATGCTGTCATTTCCGCCCAAACAGCATGGTGTTATGACAACCCATCGTGCAGTAAGTTTAAATGTTTATTAAAATATTAAAATGTACAAAACATTGAATATAAAAGGCTATAAGCAGTAATATTATGTGTAATTATTTAGGCAAGATGCTGCAGGTAAATACACTATCAGTAATAAAGGTACGCAAGCTTTTGCTGGGGTGGTACCTTTTCAAAAGATAGACACTTGTACTTTAATAGTTCATATGGGTACCAAAACATTTTAAGAGGAACACAATTTATTATTTTTTAGGTACTAATATGTACCCTTGAGGTACTAATATGGACCTTTAAGGGTCAAATTTGCACCTTTTGAAAAGGTACCACCCCAGTGACAGCTCGCCTACCTTTATTTCCGAGAGTTTTGAGTAAAAAACAAACTATAGCCATAGTTTTAATATGTTTGAATTCAGAACATTGTCCTCTGTGAAATCCTTCAGAATATGGATTAGATTAAAACTTTGAGATTTGGTGTACAGTGAGCTGCTGAAGTGGAGACTTATGAAGGGAAAAAAGGTTTAAAAAGCTTGACAATTTAAAAAAAGCATTGTAATTGAAATCTACAGATACTGATATATTAAGTGTGATGTGTTTTGAATGTTTTCTTAATACGGTGCTCAACATAAATGAGTACAGGCCTTATAATTTTCATTTAAATTTATATTTTGTATAGGAAGCTTAACGATATTGTATTTGTGCATTAGTCAGTACTGAAGCCAAATCTGCAGCTAATCTAACAAAACAACAGGATCACAGTCCAAAAACTAGTAGCCTGAATTTATATGTTAGCGAAAAATATTGAATCAAAAAAATTAAAAAGAGCAAGATTCGAGGGAAACAAATAAAAGTATAAAAGTTTTTTGAAATTGCAATTATTTTCCTAATATTTTTTACGTGAGTTTAAATGTATTATCTTTCTGTTTCTAAAGGTGTTCGGTGACTGAAATTATTTAATTTAATTTAATGAATATATTTATTTAATAAACATGTCTTGTTCAAATGCATCCAAATATATGACCCATATTCACTGAGAAATGGATAAAAGTATTCATTTTCAAAATGGCATGTACTCATTTATGTTGAGCACTGTATGTATTGTGATTGAAATCTACAGATATCGATTAAAAAAGTGTGATAAAAGACTGTTTTAAATGCCTTAATCAGACTTAATGAAAAAAATATCAGTTTATGTAAAGTCAAAAAGCCTAAAATCTCTAAATTGAGAGGTGCATGATAAAGTGTTTTTGCCTGCAGTGTCTCACCTTGATATACATGTTTAGCATTAATGTATAATCAAAGCATGCTCTAAAACTTTTTTTTTTTTAATCCTTGAACTAGATTTTACCACCTGGCCTGAACTTGCTCCACATTACTGCAATGGATCCAGCCAATCTCCTATAAATATTGTCACAGCACAAATTCTGGAAAATTCTAACCTGACCCAGTTTAATTTTACTGGTTTTGATGCCAACACCACCTTCATATCAATGGCAAACTCTGGCACCTCTGGTAAGGGGCACAGCACACTGGGAAAGCTATTGTTTCTTCATTTTGTTTAATGAAATGTGGTCGCTATAAGTAGTGACCTGCATATAAGCAATAATTGCTACAAAAGCAATTCACCCTTACGAGATAGTCACATGAGAAATATCAGAAGCTTTTACAAAAGAGCAGAGATGTCAGTGATGTACGGTTTGACAACAGAAGAAGGAAAGTTATGTTATGCCTCTTTTTGTTTGTACCCATATTGGTACCTATTAAAAGGTTATTTCATCCCAAAGTTCTGTTATTACTCACTTTTGTCACATTACCAATCCCCCAAGACCATTGTTCACCACTGAAACATAAAGTAAAATATTTTAGATGAAATCTAAGAGGTCTCTCATCCTTCATAAACAGCAACGCTGCCAAGGTGTCCAGAAAAGGAGTCAAAAACATAGTAAAAACATTCAACGTGACTTCAGTGGTTCAATTGTAATCATACAAAGCTCTGAGATACTGTAAAAAAAAAAAAAAAAAAAAAAAAAACTGTTTGTCTTTTTCCATGTCAGGTCAGGGTGTGCATTTACTATAGGCAGTATGACATTGCCAGTAGAGTCAACACTGGAAAACAAAGTGGTATTTACACTTTTTTCGGCACACACATTTTCCTCGAACTTTGTATGACTACAGTTGAACGGTTTTGACAATGGTTTTGGTTCCTTTTCTGCACTTAGAGGATGAGACGGATCTTGGATTACATCCATAATATCTTAATTTGTGTTCTGAAGATAAACCAAAGTCTTAGAACAACATGAAGGTGAATGGTTAATAACAGACTATCATTTTTTTGGGTGAAGTAACCCTTTGACATGTTTCGAACAAGGGAAAGAAGAAGAGTCTAGGGTTGTACAACATTGGATAATCTGATATTGCAATATTTTTTCCTGCAATATGAACACAGTTTCACTGGATGGTTTAAAAGGCACTAATCAGCAGTTTTCTGCAGAGTCTAACAGTATACTGAGATTGTATAATCACAATACAAAAAAATGCTTTTCTTATTTTGCTTGGTCTCGTTTCTAGTCCAAATATCAGAAACTTCTTAGAGCAAGTAAAAATAGTAGGGATGTAACAATGTTGTAAATACCGTCATACTGCAATAGTAATTTTTTTTATATTATCGTAGGCGCATGACTCAATAAAACTATATGAGAAAAGTTTGCTTAGGTGAATGAAGCGAACGGGAGGTATCGGGAACTACAATTCCCATCAGCCTAGGCGTGGCCATCATCCTTTGCGGTCTGTTGTCACTACAGATCCAGTAATGCGGAAATGGAGTGTGTTGCTAGTAGCGGGGAAGAAAAAGAGCTGGAAATGATCGAACCTAAAGCGGGTTTTAAAGCGGATGTGTGGAAGCATTTCGGTTTCTTTCTAAAAAGATACGAAAAAGGAGAAAAGGTGACAGACAAAGAAAAATACAGTATGCAGGCACTGCCAGACTGTGGTGAAATATAAGTCGGGGAATACGAATAAAAACAGTCATGGGGACTGCAGAACACAGCACTTTTGTTAGATTGATGCAGACATTGACTTGAACTGCAAAGAGACCTCTATCTCACTCATGGCTTGTCCTCTCAAGTGGTGGAAAGACAATGCACAACGTTACCCACTGCTGTCAACCTTGGCTAAATCATATCTCTCTGTCCCAGAAACCTCAGTCCCAAATGAGAGGGGTTTTTTTCTGTTGCAGGGGACATGCCCAGAGATCCCAGCTTTTAGCAGATTATAGTTATATGATAATTTTCCTTAAAAAACCCATATCTATCTAAGTGAGTGAGTGATTAAATGTTGAATGTGATGAGTTTTCAACAATACTAAATTTAAACTTTATTATTATTTTTTTTATATGGTTTAATAGTTTTTTTGTTAAAAAAATTGAAAAAGTTCCTGTTTCGAAACTTACAGATAGATGGCTAATTTGTATGTCATTGATATGTTCAGTGCTAAGGTAAATAAACACTTTTGGCACTTTTTTTCGAGTCTTTTCATTAGTTTTGTTTTTCCTGTAAATTATTCAATAAATATCGTACCGTCCCATTCATACCGAGGTATTATCGTACCGTGAAATTCTGATACCGTTACATACCTAAAAAATAGTGTTTTGTTTTCATCTTAAATAAGGAAATAAGTCAACATTAAGGGATTTTACATTAAAACAAGCAAAATTATCAGTCAGTTGGATCAGTGAAACAAATCTTGTTCACACTTTAAAAAAAAAAAATTAATTCTAAGTAAGATTTTTTGTGTGTAAACCGAGTAAATTCTGTATAAATGCCATAATTAAATACAGTTCTGTGGCTCCTGGTCAATTATAATCCAGAGTCAACATTGCACACCTTGTGATGTGAAATATCAATGCTGAAATTATATATTTTGCAGCTATATTAGAGTCAGACATCAGTGATGCTCAACATTAATGTATATTACCCCTTTATAGTGGTCGTCACCTTGGATGAACAAATAATGTCAGTGCAAGGAGGAGATCTTCCAGGTCTCTACGTTTCTAAACACTTTCATCTTCACTGGGGCAACAGCAGCTCAATTCCTGGATCAGAACACACTGTGGATGGCAAACAGTATGCAATGGAGGTATGAGTGGATTCATTTTAACTGTAAACTTCTTCATATATCTTAACACAACATCCTGAGATTCATTGTTTGTGTGTGTATGTATCTGTGTTTTTCAGCTACACATTGTGAACGTCCATTCAAAATACAACGGGAGTCTTTCTGCTGCTCTAGCTGCTAATGACAGCTCAGCGCTGGCTGTTTTGGGTTTCTTCATTGAGGTGAATTCTTACACATTCATTATTGTTTATATATTATAGATGAAAGCTTAAACCTATAAAGTGGATTAATATGTATTGGCCAACAGGGAACGAATGAAGCAAGCAAAGCAAAGGGTTGGGGCGTCCTAACGTCCTTTCTGAGAAACATCACTTATTCAGGTGAGACATTTTGTGTCAGATGTTTTGGAGAGATGATCATCAGTGTTGTGAATGGTTGCTTGAAGGGATAGTTTATTCAAAAAATAAATTAATAATTGTACAGTTTTACCCTTAAACCATTCACTGCAAAAAGAAATGCTTTTCTCACTTAAATTTGTAAGCATTTTCTAGTCAAAGTTAAACATAATGTCTTTCCAAAAATAATGTCAAAATTAAATATGTTTTTCGCAAAACAAGCAAAATAATCTAGTTTTTCCTTTTTACATTAAATGATTTTGCTTACGCCATTGGATATTATTTTGCTTGGTTTAAGAGAAAACTCTTTTCATTTTGCCACATTATTTTGGTCACACTTTACAATAAGGTTCATAAGTTAATGTTAATTAATGCATTTACTAACATGAACAAACAATGAACAATACATTTACTACAGTATTTATTCATGTCAGTAAACGTTAGTTAATGAAAATAATTTTTTTTATTGTTAGTTCATGTTAACTCACGGTGCATTAACTAATGTTAACAAGCATGGACTTGGATGTTAATAATGCATTAGTAAATGTTCAATTATGATTAATAAATGCTGTACATGTGTTGTGTTGTACAACTAATGAATCTTATTGGAAAGTGTTACCATTATTTCTTAACAAGACAGTCATTTTTGCTTGTCTAGCAAGATTTAGCTAAAAAATCTTTGTTAATGTTCTACTAAATAAAAAGCACCTATTCATTCTCAATAATCTGAGGGTGAGTAAATCTGTAAATTTTCATCTCTGGACGCATAATCTCTTTAATTCACTCTAAAACAGGGATTTTTCATCATTTATCCATCTTCATATTGTTCCAAATCTGAAACCCAAAAGAAGCAACCCGGGCTCATTGTGGAAACGTAGTCCCGCGAACGTTTCTGTAGACCGCGGAATACATCCCGGCGGGTATGTACGGCTGCAGTTTTTATTTTTGCGAATCCGCGAGAGGCCGCCGTTGTGCGCTTTTTCTCATCTCGAACGTCTCTCGCGAGCGCGAGTTCTCGCGTCAACCCGCCAGAGGCCCCTGTCCGACTGACCGGATGATTGACTGCGCGACCGGCCAATCGGCTGACTGCCCTCCTCTTTCCCTCAACCCAACCAATTTTACCGATTAACTCGCCCGCCCGCTTGCTTCCCTGAACCCGAGCAACGGTTTACAAAAGCCGTTTAAAAAAATAAAAGCCCTGATTTTTTTTTTTTTTATTCCACCGCGTTTTCGGATTTCGCCGCGTTCTCGCCCTGTCACGAAACTCGTTCACTTAATTTTTGGGATTCTGTTTTTGTCTTACCTGATTGCTGGAACCACTCTTCCCCAGACTCGAAACCGATCGCCGTGGTTACACAGTGAGCTGAGTGGACAAACAGGTTGCAGCGGGAAAGCCCTCTACAAGGAGGTAAGCGGTCAGCCGGCAAGCGCGAAAAGGGAACAGCGTCACACCGCCCCGCAGCGTTCGCTTGAAAAAAAATAAATGCAGCAGTATGTACCTCCCGGGACGTATTCCGCTGTCTCCAGAAACGTCCGCGGGACTACGTTTATAGAATGAGCTTGGGTTGAAAAGAAGATATTGCACAATTCATTCATTCATTTTCTTGCCACAGCGGAATGAACCGCCAACTTATCCAGCAAGTTTTTTTACGCAGCGGATGCCTTTCCAGCCGCAACCCATCTCTGGGAAAATAATGCAAGATATTGGGCCCTATCATACACCCAGCGCAAGGCACGACGCAATAGTTTTTTTGCTAGTTTCAGCTTGACGCAAGAGTTGTTTTGACGTTTTGCATCACGCTGTTTAAATGGCAAATGCATTTGCGCTCATATGTGCTCTGGTCTAAAAAAGGAGGCGTGTTGAGGCGCATTGCTGTCGCGTTGTTATTTTGAGGAACTATAATAGTCTGTTCAATAGACCAGAACAAAGGAGGTCTAAAGTCTAGTGCAGAGCACGTTAGTTGTGCATCTCCCTTAAACATTGCTTAATACACACAAGATGTAGAGCAATACGCAAATATCTTTACATTTGAAAAAAAAAGTTAAGGGTTAAAATACTACAAAACATATAATTTTCTAGTCTACATGAATAAAAAAAACATACCTTCATGCCTTCTTTATCTCGGGGGGCTTTTTTAGTTTATTCATAACAATTAGCTTTTCTATAATATTATTATTAGCTGTATTATTTATTATATCCATATTTATATTTATTTTATTAAAAACAAGCTTAGATTTGTCCATCTGTCAGGTTTTAGACCATATGGGGCACAGCATGTGTGTTTGGAAATAACACACTTCGTTATTATTGTTCATTTATTCATTTGCTGGAAAATCAGAACTGAATTTAGAAATGGTTCTGAAACAAATCTTTGCGCTAAACAAACTAAATTAATTATGTAGGCTAATAGATGTCTGTGCGTACAAGAAGTTACCCTATCCACGAGAGTGAAAGTGAAAGTGAACGTAAAGACTGAGGAGGCTCATCTCTCATTCTCGCGCTGTAGATGCTCTGTTTAACTGTTTTCACGTAAATGGAATGGGAGATGAGACTCTGATTGGTTTATTCTCAAAACACACCTATAACTCATTAAGAGAATAAGCTCAACCCTGTTAGACCATGTGCCACAGTGCAAAGCAGATTTTTTCCATCCTTAAAATAGCAAAAGTGGATTCTGACACGCCCTTAATGTGTTTTGGACTTTGCGCATGGATCGTCAAAATAGAGGCCAATTTAATAATAAAATAATAAAATATATTAAAATAATATATTAAAATAAATAACAAAAAAATAATAACAAATTTATAAAATGAAATAATAGTCATATTTGGCCTATTGTGATGTGCATGAGTCAAAAAATTAAATGGAGAAAACAATGCAGGGTGGGGCGTTTTCCATAATTTGTAAATTGATTGGATAGGTGACGTTTGCTTTATGTAGAACTCGTGTGATTGACAGCTTGATCCTGCCCTTGCACTATAATGAGACATGGGATTTTTAAGATACTTAAATGATAATGAATTGGTAAAAAATAATGTGCAGAGTAAATAAAAAAAAAATAATTCATAACTTTACTTTGATGATGGATTTTTGTTTTAACAAAGACAGAAAATCGATGGCATCTATGATCAAATACAACATTATGCAAACAAAACACACGGATAAATGTCTTTTGTTTACTACAGAAGAAAAATAACATAAAACTTTTGAAAAAGCAATGAAACATTCTTAACATTTTGAACTTCCTTACACTGTTTTAACTTTTTATGTGTGCAGGTAATGCAACCGTTGACATTATGAATCAAACCTCAATGAACAGTCTGCTTGAGGGAGTGAACAAGACTAAATATTACCGCTACCGAGGCTCTCTGACCACACCATCCTGCAATGAAGCTGTCATTTGGACTGTGTTTAAAGAGCCCATCAAAGTCAATAACAACTTGGTAAGTCAAGGCATCTCTATGCTATATGGGTTCCCAAGAGTCAGTTTCTGGAATATCATGGGCTTTTAAAAGGTCCATTTCAGACAATGAAAGTCTAAACAAATTTCATTGTCTGAAATTTGTTTAGACAAACAAAATTTGTTATTTTCTATAGAAATATCACTGGGACATTTTCAAAAGGTACACATTTGTACCAAAAGTGTCTAAATCGATACTTTAAAAGTAGATATTAGTAGCTAAAAATTTAAAGAGGTAAACTTTTGTACTTTTAAAGCATCATAGTATCGTGCTCATTGCGCCTTTGTCTCAATAAAACAGTTTTACAACATGCAAATTTGCATCCAATATTAACTCTGTCATAGTGGTACATTCACAATGCTTATTCATATTGACAAAAATATATTAAAGCCTTGATGGTTAAACATTAAGACCAAAAATGGCTCCGCAGATACCTGAGGAGAGCCTTATGCACGCACCACTACAAAGCCTGTCAAACAGTCCAACATTACAAGATTGTAAACTGTCAAAACTCTACAAAGTTTACAGATAAACACATTTGGTTAAGGTGTGTAAACTGAAAGGAAACAGTACATAGAAACATGTATCCATGATGTGCAGGTCTTAAAGGGCCAGCAGCAGACTAATATACTCGACATGCTGGTGTTTGTCATTCACCCCATAACTCATAATTCACCCCAAATTTTGTATTTTGTCAATATTTGCTCACTCTGATAATTTGCTTATTCAGTATTTATGTATTAATATCCATTTGATGTTAATAAAGCAACAAAAACATTTAAAGAATCATGATAAAATCGTGAATTTGATTTTCCTGGAAAAAATTTTGGTATTTTTTTGCCATATTATATTTGGCCCTAACTAATGTAGACCCTTTAGTACAAAAGTGTATCATTTGAAAAGGTACAACCCCAGTGATGGCTCTCCTACCTTTATTCCTGAGAGCATAGACATATACAGTAGCATGTTTTTAAATTGTTCTGTTTCACAGCCACAAAAAAAAGCAGCTATATTTCCTCAGAACTTAATTTATTTTTTATTCTACATAGCACCGTATGTTTATTTATTTGTTTATTGGATAAACACATTTCAATCTATTTGCATTATTATCCATTTATCTATTATTATACAATGCATTTATTTACAATATTTATATACAAATATTTTGTATATTTTTTATATTTTCTATAAAAAAAATTTAACAATACACTCAAAATTCGACAATTTTTATTTTGGTGGTTTTTGGTGTCCAACAGTGTGTGGCTTAACTGTAACACCCTGTTATAACTAACCACGCTGTGTCGTGTGTTCCTTAACTGGCTAGCAGTCACTGTGTGTTTTTTACATCTTTCAAAATGGTTCCATCTTTTAGCCTAGAAGTGGGTGATTACAACAATATCAGATTTTACATACATATTTTCACAATTTTTTAAAAAGAAAAAAATATGAACTATAATAAAAATACTTTTACGCTGCAAAAATGGTTCCTGTGTTTCTCATCCAAAATTCGCCGAACTTTTTCAATAATTGCCAGGAAGACATTGTGGTGAAAACCTCAGAAGCATGCCATGATTAACCCTGAGCAAATACCTTTAAACTCTGTGTTACATTTAACCGTGCGTTACTTTGAGTCCCGCGATCCCCTATATTTTGTCCAAGTCATGAAACAGTTTTGTTTGTCTCCTTAAGTTTTTGTTGACATTTATCAAAATGTATATTTTCAGCATTCTCATAAATAAAGGTTCAAGAGCTGTATTGTAAAGTCTAAATTGGTACTTAAAAAGTCTGTATTAGTTGTTATTATTTAAAATAAGCTGAAACAACACAATTCTTCAATTTTTGGGAGAAGGACAACTTAATTGTTTTATGTTCAGTCCACTTAAATTTGTAAAAACAAATAAGTTAGCTTAATTTTATCCCGACAAACTGATTGTGTGGAAAGCAGCATTTCTACAGTGTTCTGCATGACATCTGCATGTTCTTAAGCTAAAAAAAACAGCTCATTTATTTTATTCCCACCCCTAAACAGATCAACCTCTTCAGTACAACGGTCTTTGCCAAAAATGCAAGTGCTCCAGTTCTGAATGTTAACAACTTCAGAGGAGTTCAGCCGCTGAATGGCAGAGTGGTGACGTCTCAGGTGGAGCAAACCGCGTCACCCACAGCTCCATCATCAGCCGCCACATCCATTTCATCCCTCTCCCTATTACTGCTCTTGACCAGTTTGTGTTGCCTGTAAATATACTATTAGTGATTTTATTAAAATAACTGGAGTTTAATAATTTATTTCCCCACTGCATTGTTCACTTTATTGATTGTGTTTGTTCATGATCGACATGGAAACATTTGATGAGATCCAGTGGTTCCTGTTTGTCCCTGTTGTATTTCTGTTTCTACATCTGTAATTTAAAACGCACAATCCACATCTTTAGAATATCGTTGTAAAAAAATCTTAGAAGTTAAAGTCAAAATAATTTTAACTTTCATATAAAGCTTGTGTGTGACACATTTGAATGTTTTGTGACTGTATACTATATGTATAGTGTAAGGATAAGCTTAAGTTTTTGGTTTTGGAGTGTAATGATGTCATGAAATATCATTAAATATAACAGAACGGTTCTCTGTTTGAGTGCAGTTTATGTTCATGGTATACATTTCTGGGCTTTTGGTCTTTCATGACCTGTGCTGTTGAGTCGGTGTGTGTGTTGAAATGGTGTGTTGATGCTCATTTTCCAAAAGGGCTGAACTCTGATAGAGAAGACAAGGGAACCGCTATGTATACTTTAAGACTCGTTATGACTTCCGTCATTTTTCTTACTCTAGCAAGCTATCCAGCGAGGGCTTCCAAAACAACAAAGGAGAGAAAGGTGAGAAAAGCAAGTTTTCTTATTACATTTTTGCTGTCAGGAATCCCCCATGTATAAAAACTTCTGCACTCCAGTGTCAGGCCTTATTACAGCAATGAAGGAATGCACTCTTAATGCGATCAGTGTCTATTCGCTTGTTAAGTGTGACGTCACATGAAGCGGCTTCCAGGTCCAAGTGCTCTATTCAACTGAATGGGAAGACTCATTAAATGATAATAATAAACGTTTACAAAGTGATTTAATACTTTCGAAAATCACGATCACAATATATATGTCCATGCCTAATATCCGTTGGCCAGAAAGTGACTTATTTTTTTTATAAATTGTTAAATTTTTGGTATTTGTTATGCAGCAAGCCCAGAGATTGTTATATACACTATGATTTTTATAAAATTAACTTTATTGTGTGATAGGAATAAAACGTGATCATAAACGAATGATTTCTTAACTCAAATGAGTGGCGGCTTGGACCCAGAAACAGCATTACATACATCACCACTTAACAAGCGGATACAAAGTTATTCACTATTCTCGTTTGTGACTTGGACGTTGCTCTTAGTGCCACCAAGGAAAAAGCTAGATCTTTTGATTGCGCTATGGTGGCTACGGAGATTCACCTCTAACTGAATCAGTTAGAGATCAAGCTACTCTATTTTCCTCAACCAGGCCAAAAAGAATTCAAGCTCCTCTGGAACTTTCTTCTCCCGCGATTAAAAACCTCTGGGGTTGCCAGACAAGAGCAGCTTTAGCCGTTTATCAGCACTTTGCACCAGCATAGATCAGTGCAGAAGGAGAACCCTAAAAAACAGGAATGTGGCAAGGCAACTCTCTCAGCTGAGGTCCTCTATGGTCTACCGTGGTCCTGCCACAGTAGAGCTTAATTTGTGCCGGAACACGCCAGATCCAAATCCGGATCCGATACCTCTAAAATCTGATCCAGCACCTCATTTTACTGAACCCCCTCCTTAACCACCCTCCTCCACCGTCCGCTGTTCACTTTCGCTTCTCCAACACTCTTCACTTTCGTTCGCGACAAATATCCCCCGCTCTTCACTTTCGTTCACAACACCCCTTCTTCATCCAACGCCCCGCCATGTCAACCACCCCATACAGCCCCCCCAACCCGGTCTCCACTTTCGTGCGTGGCACATCTACATCCTTGGGTAATATGCCGGATCTGTTACCCCGATCTGTTCCGGGATTTCGCAATTCACAAATTAAGCACTGGCCAACTCATAGGCATTCATCGGCCTGCTTTCTTACTCTTTCTGATGGATTAAATATATATTTCATTCAGTTTATTTTGCATTCAAACATATCAAAAGATTAAACTAACTCAGCTTTGGACTGCTATTCGCAACTGTTAGGACTGCGTTGTTTTGTTTGTGTGTTTGATTTTGATTCTAGATTGGGGGCGTGCCTTCAGCAAACCTGATGCTGGTCAGCGGCCTTATTTAAACCCCGGCAGAGAGTTTGTCGGGGCCGCTGTCCATTCACTTGGCAGTTGGCCAGAGCCGCGCTCCTATTTGGCCATTATGCTTTGTTTCGCATCCATACACCATCACTGACGACATTTACCGCATCCATACACTTGCATTTCACACTGATTGAACATATTGATACTGACAATTTGATTATATAATTTAAATTGAGTTAAATAAATCTTCTTTTTGATTATACTTCTCCTTGTCGTCTCCCTTATTATGTTACATCCCTGAGCCAGGTGTAACACAACCAATTACTTGAGTAAATTTGGAAACTTTTGGTGGCTAACAAACCTATTTTAAACCATTTGGAAAATGCACACTGGTAACTCTTTACAATAAGGCTGTATTAGTTCATTTTAGTCAATACCTTTAAAAACAAACAGTAAACAACATTTTTATTTCAGTATTTGTTCATGTTTATTAGCGCTGTTTAATAAAAGTACAGTTGTTCAATATTAGTTATTAGTTAACTAATGTTAACAAGCATGAATTTGGATTTTAATATTGCAACAGTGAATGTTCAATAATGATTAATGAATGCTGTACAAGTATTGCTCATCAATAGTTTTTGTTAGTCTTTCATTCAATCATTTTCTTGTCGGCTTAGTCCCTTTATTAATCTGGGGACAGATTAATGAACGCCACAGCGGAATGAACCGCCGACTTATCCAGCAAGTTTTTTTACGCAGCGGATGCCCTTCCAGCCGCAACCCATCTCTGGGAAACATTCACACACACACACACACACACACACACACACACACACACACACACACACACACACACACACACACACACACACACACACACACACTCACGGACAATTTAGCCTACCCAATTCACCTGGACCACATGTCTTTGAACAGTGGGGGAAACCGGAGCACCCGGAGAAAACCCACGCGAACGCAGGGAGAACATGTAAACTCCACACAGAAACCCCAACTGATTTATGTTAGTAAATGAACTAATTTACTTATGAACTAATGAAACCTCACAGTAAACTGTGACCTTCACACTGCTTTAGCTCATCATGAGATGAGATAACAGACCTAAAAGTGAAAGTTTCACACCTTCACAGAAAGAACGCCATGATGGCTATGACGCCAAGTTCTGATGGCTGTGATTTGGAAAATATTCTGATGTGAACATTGGCGGATTGGTATAAATGTAGGCCAGATTTTTTTTTTATCAGAAGCTGCGAGTATGAAGGTGACACACCCACTTCAGGTGAGCAGCGGAGAGCCTTCAAAAAGGGGGGAAGGAAGCCAGGTCATCGGATTTCTGCAGACAGACTGGAGAATCAGGTTGAAGAGGTACATTCCGACTGGAGCTCCCTTTGTGTGATTGATAGCATTTCTCACATAAATTTCTATTAACGGGACTGCTTTATTGTGATTAAGATGATTACCTTCCTGGTCTCTTTCCTTGCTGCACTTGTGTGTGAATTCGTCCACAGTGACAACTTACCGGTAGGTGAGTATCACTGAAACTTCCTTTACTCAGCGAGAGTCTAGTTTCATCTAACTGACTGTAAAAGCTCTTGAGATTTCATCTGTTTCACTTCTATTTGAACAATTTGAGTTTACTAATGCTGTCCTTTCACCCCAAACAGCATGGTGCTATAACAATCCAGCATGCAGTAAGTTTTAGTTTTTTATTAAATTATTAAAATTGACAAAACGTTGAATATTAGGACTGTTAGGAGAAATAATTTTAAGGCAAGATGTTGCTGGTGAAAAAGGTAAGAACATTACCACCATGATTTTAAGATGTTAGAAAACTGAACATTTTTCTCTGTGAAATCCTTTGGCATAAAACAGTGAAATTTGGTGTACAGTGAGCTGCTGAAGAGGAGATAATTTGAGAAGAAAAGCTAATTTTGGGAAATGTAAAAATAAGTGGAATTCTAATCTACAGAGACTGATTAATTGGTCACACTTTACAATAAGGTTCATTAGTTAATGTTAATTAATGCATTTACTAACATGAACAAACAATGAACAATACATTTACTACTGTATTTGTCCATGTTAGTAAACGTTAGTTAATGAAAATACAGTTGTTCATTGTTAGTTCGTTAACTCATGCTTCATTAACTAATGTTAACAAGCATGGACTTGGATGTTAATAATGCATTAGTGAATGTTTGATTATGATTAATAAATGCTGTACAGGTGTTGTTCATGATTAGTTCATGTTGGTAAATGCATTAACTAATGAACCTTATTGTAAAGTGTTACCGATTAATCAAATGAACACAGACTGTTTCGAATGTTTTCTAATATGCATTATTACAGTAGTTTAAATCTACAGATACTCATTAAAAAAGTGATAAAATACAGTTTTAAATGTTTCAATTAGACTGAAAAAATACGGTTTTGTATTTGCAGTGTCTCACCTTGATATACATGCTTAACATCACTGCACAGTATAATCAAAACTTGCTCTAAAGCTTTTTTTTAATCCTGTATTGAACTAGATTTTCCCAACTGGCCCAATATTGCTCCACAATACTGCAATGGATCCAGCCAATCTCCCATTGATATTGTCACAGCACAAGTTCAGGGAAATCCTAACCTGACCCAGTTTATTTTAACTGGTTTTGATGCCAACACCACCTTCACATCAATTACAAACTCCGGCACCTCTGGTAAGAGGCACAGCACACTATTGTTTCTATTGTTTCTTCATTTTGTTTTGATGAAATGTGGTCGCTAAAAGAAGTGCGAATAAGGAATAATAGCTACAAAAGCAATTAATCCCTATGAAATGGTAACTTGAGAAGTGTTAGAAATTGCTTTTACAAAAGAGCAGAGATATACAGTCACCAGCCACTCTATTAGGTAAACCTTACTACTACAGTGTTGGACCCCCCTTTGTCTTCAGAACTGCCCTAATTCTTTGTGTCATAGATTCAACAAGGTACTGAAAATATTCCTCAGAAATTTTACCCCATATTGACATCATAGCATCACACAGTTGCTGCAGATTTGTTGGCTGGACATGGTCTGCAACAATACTCAGGTAGTCTGTGGCGTTGACACGATGCTCAATTGGTACTAATGGGCCCAAAGTGTGCCAAGAAAATCTCCCCCACACCATTACACCTCCACCAGCCTGAACCACTGATACAAGGCAGGATGGATCCATGCTTTCATGTTGTTGATGCCAAATTCTGATCGGACCATCCGAATGTCGCAGCAGAAATCGAGACTCCTCACACCAGGCGACGTTTTTACAGTCTTCTATTGTCCAGTTTTGGTGAGCCAATTGTAGTCTCAGTTTCCTGTTCTTAGCTGACAGGGGTGGCACCCAGTGTGGTCTTCTGCTGCTGTAGCCCATCTACCTCAAGGTTGGACGTGTTGTGCGTTCAGAGATGCTCTTCTGCAGATCTCGGTGGTAACGAGTGCTTATTTGAGTTACTGTTGCCTTTCTATCAGCTGGATCCAGTCTGGCCATTCTCCTCTGACCTCTGGCATCAACAAGGCATTTGGGACTGAATATATCCCCCTTCTGATGCCAGTTTGAACTGCAGCAGATAGTCTTGAACATGTATACATGCCTAAATGCATTGAGTTGCTGCCATGTGATTGGCTAATTAGAAACACGTTAACGAGCAGTTGGACAGGTGTACCTAATAAAGTGGCCGGTGACTGTACGCGATATACTTTTTGACAACAGAAGAATGAAAGTTTTTGTATGCTTATTTTTGTTTGCATCCATATTATTTACTAAATAGGGGATAGTTCACCCCAAATTGAAATTTCTGTTATCACTCACTCTTAAGCCTTTGAGATTTTTGGTCATCCTCGAAACACAAAGTAAGATATTTTAGATGAAATCCATAAGCTTGATCTTCCTTCATAGACAGCAATGGTTCCGACGTCCAGAAAAGGAGTCAAGAACATAGTCAAAATACTCCATGCGACTTCAGTGGTTCAACTGTGATCATAGAAATAGACAAGAATCAGTAAAAATTCATAGAGTTTTCCATGTCAGGTCAGGGTGTGCATTCACTATGGGCAGTGAGACGCATTGCCATTAGAGTCAACACTGATTTTACATGGAAAACATATTTTTTTTAATATATATTTTTTGGCAAACAATGTGTTCTTGGAACACTGAACAACTGAAGCCACATGAAATGTTTTGACAATGATTTTAGTTCTTTTTTCTGGACTTAAAACATCTCAGGACCTTTGAAGGATGAGAGAGCTCCAGAATTTCATCTAAAATATCTTCATTTGTGTTCTGAAGATGAATAAAGATCTTAAAACAACACGAGGGTGAGTAATTATTAGCAGAATATCATTTCTGAGGTGAACCCTTTAACAGATTGTGGTAAAGATTGTAGAGTCTATGGCTGCACAGTATTGGAAAAATCTGATATTAATCAACAATAAATATTGAGTGAATAGCAATAGATATAAACACAGTTTCACAGGATGGTTTAAAAAGCACTGTTTTTTGGAGAGTCTAACAGTATTTAGGTACAGAAATTTAATAATCACAATGCAAAAATGCTTTCCTTACTTTGCTTTGTCTCGCTATCCAAATATCAGAAAATTCTTGGAGTAAGAAAAAACTAGTGTTTTGTTTTCATCTTCAGAAGGAAATAAGGGAACATTAAGGGATTTTACATTAAAACAAGCAAAATTATCAGTCAGTTGGATCAGTAAAATAATCTTGTTCACACTTTGACATGTACATGTTTTTTGTTTTTGCATAAATCATATAAATTAATATAATTTATAAATCATATGAAATAATTTAAAATAAACTACAGTATTTAAATCCAATTCTCTAGCTCCTGGTCGACTATAATTCAGACTCAACATTTGATTCAGACTCAGCTATTGCAGGTGCACACATTGAAATATCAATGCTGAAATCATATACTGTATCGTGCAGCTCTAGTAGAGTCAGTGATGCTCAACATTAATGCATATTACCCATTCACAGTGGTCGTCTCTTTGGATGAAGACATAATGTCAGTGCAAGGCGGCGATCTTCCAGGTCTTTACGTTTCTGTACAGTTTCATCTTCACTGGGGCAGCAGCAGCTCCTTGCCTGGATCAGAACACACTGTGGATGGCAAACAGTATGCAATGGAGGTATGAGTGGATTAATTTTCCCTGTGTTATTCCACAAAGTTTTTCACCCACATGTGAATTTTATTTCCTCTTTTAAATATTTGCCAAATGATGTTTAACAGAGCAGGGAATTTTTCACAGTATTTTGTATAGTATTTTTTCTTCTGGAGAAAGTCTTATTTGTTTTATTTCAGCTAAAAATTGAAATAAAAATATAATGTAATAATATTTATATGTATATATATATATATATATATATATATATATATATATATATATATACATATAAATATTATTACATTATATAAATAATTGTTTATATATATTTTCGATAGTCCACAGAACAAACCAGTAACACGATGACTTTCCTAATTACCCTAACATAGTACCCTAATTAACCTAGTTAAGCCTTTAAATCTCATTTTAAGCTGTATAGAATTGTCTTGAACAATATTATTTACTGTCATCATGGCAAAGATAAAATAAATCAGTTATTAAAAATGAGTTATTAAAACTCAAAGGGTTAAAAACGAAGAGCTAATAATTCAGACTTTAGCTTTATATCCTAACACAACATCCTGAGATTCACAGTATGGCTATGTATGTGTGTGTCTTTCAGCTGCACATTGTGAATCTCCATTCAACATACGACGGGAATGTTTCTGCTGCTCTAGCTGCTAATGACAGCTCAGCGCTGGCCGTTTTGGGTTTCTTCATTGAGGTGAATTCTTACACATTCATTATTTATTATTACTGATTATAGATAAAAGCTCAAACCTATAAAGTGGATTCATTTGTATTGGCCAACAGGGAACTGATGAAGCAGACAAAACAAACAGTTGGGACATCTTTACATCCTTTCTGTCAAACATCCCTAATTCAGGTAAGACATTTTGTGTCAGATGTTTTGGAGAAATGATCATCAGTGGTTGCTTAAAGGGATAGTTTATACCACGGATGTCAAATCCAGTTCCTGGAGGGCTGCAGCTCCGCACAGTTTAGTTTCAATCCTAATTAAATACACCTGATCAAAATAATTGAGTTCTTTAGGCTTTTTCTTGCTCTGTTAAACATAATTTGGGAAATATTTAAAAAAGAAAAAAAATCAATAGCAGGGCTAATAATTCAGACTTCAACTGTATATATATATATATATATATATATATATATATATATATATATATATATATATATATATATATATATATATGATAAACGATGTTTAACAGAGCAAAGAAAATTTGGACAGTATGTCTGATAATATTTTTTCGGTCCCACTTTATATTAAGTGTCCTTAACTACTATGTACTTGCATCAAAAAATAAATACAATGTACTTACTGTGTTTATGATGTATTTGAGAACACTTGTGGTTGGGATAGGGGTTGGGTTATGGACAGGTTTGGTGATATGGGTAGGTTTAAGGGTGGGTTAAGGTGAAGGGAATGGTCAGCAGTGTATTTACAAATGTAATTACAGAAGTTAATAACAGATGTAAATACATACAGGTATTTAATCAAGTCTAAGTACACAATAAATACATGTATTTACACAATAAGTACATTGCAACAAACTATTATTTCCTGTGAAAGTACATATCAGTTAAGGCCACTTAATATCAAGTGGGACCATTTTTTCTTCTGAAGAAAGTCTTATTTGTTTTATTTCAGCTAGAATAAAAGCAGTTTTAAATTTTTTATTTATTAAAACTATTATGATTAGAAATGTGTTGAGAAAATCTGCTCTCCGTTAAACAAAAATTGGGGAAAAAAATAAACAGGGGGACTGTAATCAGTACTATAAGCAGTTTGTTATCAACTTCCTATTTTGAAAGTCATTTAATTTAACATGTCAGTATTCATTTGTATTATTCCAGTGTGTATTAATAGAGCAACTATTAAACTATTAAATCAAAGCAATTTAAAGTAATTTTAAAAAAGTGAGTTCCAAAACTAGTATGGTAAAAAATATATTAAACATTAAGTCTGTAAAATGAACTGTTAAAAGTGGTGATGATCACCAGTCTTGTGATTGAAAGTGTTGTATTGTCGTCTTTCAGGTTGTATCTCAGCTTTAATGTGCTTTTTAAATAAATAAATAAAAAACAAAGCAGCTGTTTGCCATCGTGACAGCAATCTGATCCTATTAACGGCCAATCGCTTTCACTCCGAAATGGCGGAATTGCGGGGCTGTTGCTGGACACTGCTGTTGCAATGGTTGCACATCTTGGTGATTCTAACTCTTTGCCTTAATAACCATAACCTAAATAGCCGGGTCCGTCACATTTTAGGGTCCCCTTCAAACATATCTGTTGTGTTCCGTGCTATTAGAAGGTGTTGTGAGAATTTGTAGGCATTTTTTTGTACATCGTTTACATTGTGAGAAAATGCAAATGTGTTTTTTTTTTTATGTGGATGCATTGTGAGACTTTGCTACACATGTGCTGTCAAACGGATAAGGATCTTTTCTCAACTTGGTGGCGTTTTTTGTAAAGTGTTTTCTTAAATTGCTTTGTTTTTAACTTTTTATATTTGTAGGTAATACATACACAGACATTATGGATCAAATCACTATGAACAGTCTGCTTGAAGGAGTGAACAAGACTAAATATTACCGCTACCAAGGCTCTCTGACCACACCACCCTGCAATGAAGATGTCATCTGGACTGTGTTTAAAGAGCCCATCAAAGTCAATAACAACTTGGTAAGTCAAGGCATCTCTATGCTATATGGCACAGGTGTCAAACTCAGTTCCAAAAGGGCCGCAGCTCTGCACAGTTTAGTTCCAACCCTAATTAAACACACCTGATCAAACTAATTAAGTCCTTCAGGCTTGTTTGAAACCTACAGGTAAGTGTGTTGTAGCAGGGTTGGAACTAAACTGTGCAGGGCTTCGGCCCTCCAGGAATTGAGTTTGACACCCCTGCTATATGGGTTCCCAAGAGTCAGTTTCTGGAATATCATGGGGTTTTATAAGGTCCATTTCAGACAATGAAAGTCAGGGAATTTGTTATATTTTATAGGAATATCGATGGCGTGGGACATTTTCAAAAGGTACACATTTGTACCATAAGTGTCTGTATTGGTACTTTAAAAGTAGATATTAGTAGCACAGAATTTTTGGGATATCATGGGTCCATTTCAGACATTGAAAGTCAGGGAATTATATTTATAGGGGAGAGCGGGGCACAAAGGCACAACAAGGTAATAGGGTCAGACAAAGCATTTTTTACCAGCAACACACAAGCCTCTTCTACAAATGAGCACTGGTTGAATGATTGCCAGCTTATGGTTTCTGTGCAGTATTGCCAAAAGTGCCCGGAGTAAAAATTTTACTATTTACCCCACCTGCGGAGGAGGGCGACGCAGTGGCGCAGAGGGTAGCTCGTTCGCCTCACAGCAAGAAGGTCGCTGGGTCGCTGGTTCGAGCCTCGGCTCAGTTGGCGTTTCTGTGTGGAGTTTGCATGTTCTCCCTGCGTTCGCGTGGCTTTCCTCCGGGTGCTCCGGTTTCCCCCACAGTCCAAAGACATGCAGTACAGGTGAATTGGGTAGGCTAAACTGTCCGTAGTGTATGAGTGTGTGTGTGAATGAGTGTGTCTGAATGTTTCCCAGAGATGGGTTGCAGCTCGAAGGGCATCCGCTGCATAAAAACTTGCTGGATAAGTTGGCGGTTTATTCCGCTGTGGCGACCCCAGATTAATAAAGGGACCAAGCCGACAAGAAAATGAATGAATGAATGAATGAATAATTAAAAGGACAAATTCTGGACCTTTTGGCCATGGAGGGTGGTTCGTTTGAAAAATGTAAAATGTAAAATGTAAACTATATCGTTTGAACCACCCAAACCCCCCCTGGCTACCGGCATGCACTGTTTTTTTAATATCTTTTAAAAAGGTTCCATCTTTCAGCCTAGAAGATGGTAATCAATATAAGATTTCACTATTAAACTTTTTTAAAAAATAATTTAAAAAATGCTGCAATAATGATTTCTCCTGTGTTTTTCATCCAAACTTTTTCAATAATTAGCAGGAAGGCGTCTGTCGACATTGTGGTGAAAACCTCAGAACCCTGGGCAAATACCTTAAAACTCTGTGTTACATTTAACCCAGCGTTACTTTGAGCTCTGCGCTCCTCTATATTTTGTCCAAGTTTTGTTTGTCTCCTTAAATTTTAGTTTACATTTATCCAAATGTATATTTTTAGCATCCTCAAAAATAAATGTACAAGAGCTGTCACTGGTGTTGTCCCTTGTCAAAAGGTCCAGAACTGTACCAAAAGGTCTATATTGGGACTTTAACAGTGCATATTAGCTGTTATTATTTGATATAAGCTGAAGCAACACAAGTCTTCAATTTTTGAGAGAAGGACAACTTGATTGTTTTATGTTCAGTCCACTTAAATTTGTAAAACTAGTAAGTTAGCTTAATTACTTCATATTGTCCCAACATAGTATGATTGTGTGGAAAGCAGCATTTCTACAGTGTTCTGCATGACATCTGCATGTTCTTAAGCTAAAAAAAACAGCTCATTTATTTTTTCCCAACCCCCAAACAGATCAACCGCTTCTGTACAAAGGTCTTTGCCAAAACTGCAAAAGCTTCAGATCTGAATGTTAACAACTTCAGAGGAGTTCAGCCGCTGAATGGCAGAGTGGTGACGTCTCAGGTGGAGCAAACCGGTTCCTCTGCAGCTCCTTCATTAGTCCCCACATCCATTTCATCCCTCTCCCTAATTCTGCTCTTGACCAGTTTGTCTTGCCTGTAAATATACTATTAGTGATTTTATTAAAATAACTGGAGTTTAATAAAATGAAGTTTCACAAACAAATTTCGAGAGGAGCATGTGATATGATTGACTGCAGATATCATTGACTCATCTACACTCAGTAGCTAGCCAATCAGATCGATCCAAACTCACTATAAGTAACCTAGCTAAGAACTACTCCCTTATCTTCGTTTTCTCGAAGAAACCCCCCATCCACCCCTTCTCCTCCTTTCCTCTTTTGCCGAGGGGAGCTCTCGAGAACACCTGACCTCGTACTCCCCTCACATGCTCTATGGACCTGGCGGGAGCCCTGGGCTCAACTATCTCCGAGCTCAGGGTTCTCTCTTGGGACAGCATGCCAAACCTGCTAACTTGCTAACAAGTTGTCAAACAGTAACTAAGCGTGAACTCTTGAATTACTTATCCCACTGCATTGTTCACTTTATTGATTGTGTTTGTTATGATCGACATTTTCTGTTACTGTTGTGCATTGTCCAACCCGGGCTCATTGTGGAAACGTAGTTCCACGGAATACGTCCAGGCGGGTACGTACGGCTGCAGTTTTTGTTTTCGCGAATCCGTGAGAGGCCGCTGTTGTGCGATTTTTCGCACTTCAGACGCCTTTCGCGAGTGCGGTTCGTGCCCGCGATGTTCTTGCGTGAACCCACCGGAGGCCGCTGTCCGACTGACCGGATGATTGACTGCGCGGCCGGCCAATCTACCGACCCGCCCTCCTCCTTCCCCGAACCCAATCAATTTTACCGATCGACCCGCCCGCCCGCTCGCTTTCCTAAACCCGAGCAACAGTTTACAAAAAGCCGTCCAAAAAAATAAAAGCCCCGATTTTTTTTTTTCTACCGCGTTTTCGGATTTCACCGCATTCTCATCCTGACACGAAACGCGTTCACTTAATTTTTGGGATTCTGTTTTTGTTTTACCTGATTGCTGGAACCGCTCTTCCCCGGACTCGAAACCGATCGCCGTGGTCGACTCCTCTCTGCATCTCGAGCCTGCTGATGTACACGGTGAGCTGAGTGGACAAACGGGTTGCTGCGGGGAAGCCCTCCACAAGGAGGTAAGGCAAGCGCGAAAGGGAACAGCGTCACACAGCCCCGCAGCGTTTGCTTGAAAAAAATAAACACGGCCGTACGTACCGCCCCGGGACATATTCCGCTGTCTTCAGAAACGTCCGCGGGACTACGTTTTCAGAATGAGCTTGGGTTGGCATTGTCACATGGAGACATTTGATGAGAACCAGAGGTTCCTGTTTGTACCTGTTGTATTTCTGTTTCCATTATCTGTATTTTGAAACGCACAATCCACATCTTTAGGATATTGTTGAAAAGATTCTTTGTTTATACAGTCGAAATACTTTACAGTATAGAAAGCTTGTGTGTGACACATTTGACCGATTTGTGAGCGTTTGTATACTATGTGTATGCTGTGAGAATAAGTGTGAATTTTTGGTTTTGGAGTGTGATGATGTCATGAATATTATTAAATAAAAGAGAATGGTTGTGTGTGTTTATGTTAGACATTTCTGGGCTCATTGCTGTTTCATGACCCTTGCTGTCCATATATTGTATAGAGAGTCAGGGAGATCTTGTTTTTAAAATATCCTAATTTGTGTTCTGAATGTGAACAAAGGCCTTATGGGGTTTGGAATAACAATGACATGAAGATGAGTGACTGATGTGAATAAATCTTTAAAGGTTAAAGAAACCCTCGAGTACTTTCTTTGAGATTTTAACAGATCTGTGTGTGTTTAGCATCATTTAAGATGATGTTAGCTCCTGTTAGCTTTAATTGTGGGGAAAACTGGATAATTTTGAGCTTTTGTCAGCTAATTTCAGCTTCCGGGTTTGAAATAATTTTTAGGGCGCGATCAAAATTGATGACGCTGCGCAAAACTGCAAGTGCAAAGACGACGCGTCGGTTTCTCATTATTATTCATAGCACAGTTTTCTTATCCTATGAGAAGAGCCTGCTGCTTAATTATTCATGACTGCGCATGCTTTCCGAAAACAAGGCAGAACTGCCAGTGCCAAGCTGTGAGATCCTACCTTAATGACTGCTCATATGTGTTTGTTTCTATGATCCACGGGGTTTGTAGCATGTTTTTCCCCATGATCCTGTCAGGGTCGATACAGCAAAGCTGTATGTGTGCTGCAAGCATTTTTGTCGGGAGAGCAGTACGAGAATTGGAGAATGGCGGACGTCCTTTATCAGGAGTTTGTTCACATTTAGACGCATCACCGTGCTGATGTGTTTGCCTTAATCCTCTAGATTACCAACAGGGCTAATGCTGTGTTCACACCAGACGCAGAACACGTGGATAAATCGCACTATTTGTGCGTAAATAGCTGCGTGAACATTTGAATTTACTTGCTTCATTCGCGCGTCAAACCTCGCTTCATTCGCGTTTCAAATTCACTTCAAAACAGACGCGGATTCGCGTGATGGGCAGGGCTTCTGTCTGCCCGAAGACTCTAGCTTCATAGCTAAATGGCTAACATGGATTTTATGAAGAAAATAACAGTGTTTATGTGCTTTATGAAGACTGAAAAACAGTGTCGATACGTTTAGGGTCGTGTCTGAGTCCACTACATACTTTCAGAGGTGCATCCAGCTCTGTGAGCTCATAAACTCCTCCAGAAACTTAACCTGGATGACGGAGGCTTTCAGCGGTGCTTCTGACTGGGCCAAGCCGAGTTTGATGAACTGTTCTACGTCACAATCACGCCCCCACAAGAGCAAGCTTCTGATTGGTTAACGCGGCGCGAATGTACGCTGAGGTTCAGATTTTCGAACTCGAGAGATTCGCGCGAAACGCTCGTTAAGCGTGTCAAACACGGCAAGCGTGCTCGTTAAGCCCTGCACCATTCGCGCAATTTGCGTCATTCGCGCCACGCCATTCGCAGTTATCGTACCGCAGGATGTCTATTCGCGCATTTGCATTGATTTAACATGTAAATCACGCGCGTGCTGCGTCTGGTGTAAACGCAGCATAATGGTTAAAACAGACAATACAAGAGACCTGCTGCACTGAGTCTGCATTCAGACCTATGATTCAGACCCGGGGATTGAGGGAGAAATCATTTATAGTGTTTATATAAACATGATTATCTTTAGAATGATATAAATGGTGGTTGTGTGTATGAAATTACGTAAAACAAATGTAGCAGGGCATTAAATTATTGTTTATTTATATGCATTTTAACATTGTAAACTATAAAACCATGCGTCTTCTCACGGTTTGTGTCTCATTTTGTGAGCTGACGGATGACAGTTCGCTCCCCTCCTTCTCCCCTGCTCTGCTGGCCACGCCCACTCCTGCTCTTTGCTCGCGGAGCTCCACTCCCATTATCATGCAAGAAATCTGAGGAAGACCTGAACCGAAAATGGGGGGTGTCATGGCCCCTTAAGGAGGCATTGAAAGTAAGTGAAGAAAAAGAAAGAGAAACAAGCAGTTTGTTGAACGCATCATGCTGGAAATATATATATATATATATATATATAGCCTCAATATATAGTATACTTTCAAACATGTGATGTCTGTGTATGATACATTTTCAATTAAGCAACATTCTGTATTGCTTAAGCTGGGCATCACGGTGGTGCTGTGGGTAGCACAATGGCCTCGCAGCAAGAAGGTTGCTGGCTCGAGCCTTGGCTGGGTCTGTGGGCATTTCTGTGTGGAGTTTGCATGTTCTCCCCTTGTTGGTGTGGGTTTCCTCTGGGTGCTCCGATTTTCCTTATAAGTCCAAAAACATGTGGTACAGGTGAATTGGGTAAGCTAAATTGTCTGTAGTGTATGTGTGTGTTTGAATGAGTGTGTTTGGGTGTTTCCCAGTGATGGGTTGCAGCTGGATGGCCATCCACTTTCGTAAAACATATGCTGGATGAGTTGACGGTTTCATTCCGCTTTGACTGTGTGAGACCAATCGAGGATCAAACCATAACCTCTCTGGACAGAAACGTAGAATATGGACCAATCACTCGCCTTTTTAATGTCTGATCATCTTGTTTAACCCCGCCCCTATTCGCAGTGCCGTACGACAGTATTTTGCAAGCTCAAACTATAGTGTGACTGCGGCATAAATGTGAATGGTAGTGTATGGGTGTTTCCCAGAGATGGGTTGCAGCTGGAAGGGCATACGCTGCGTGAAACATATGCTGGATAAGCTGGCGGTTCATTCTACTGTGGCGACCCCAGATTAATAAAGGAAATCCGAAAAGAAACTGAATGAATGAATTGCTCTAGATTTTGTGCTGTCCTCAAAGTCCTTGCAGTGTTATCATCATCTCTTCACAGGTCTTGGATCTGATCAGCTGATCAATATAAAGCCAGCTCTGAAAAAGACAGGTTGTTTACATCAGGGGTGCCCAAACTCCGTTCTGGAGGGCAGGTGTCCTCCATAGTTTAGCTCCATCTTGCTTCAATGCACCTGCTTGGAAGTTTCTAGTATATCTATAGAGCTTGATTAGCTGGTTCAGGTATGTTTAATTGGGGTGGAATTGAAATATGTAGCCATCCAGGATCAATTTGGACACCCCTGATTTATATGTTATTCAGATGAGTATTACTAACCCCAACAAAATGATCTGCCAGCAAATTGTATGGAGTGTTGATCTCTCCCTGTAGTCTTCCATTCATACACACAGGAATGCGTAGGACCAGAAACGCAAGCTTGTGCCACAAGTTTCGCAGGTTGCTGCGTTGCAAAGTTCAAGCTTGGTGAACTGTGACCTGCGATATCCCATCACTTGACTGCGTGAGGCCAATCGAGGATCATGTAAGAATGGGTTTTAACCACAGCGGTTGGAAATATAATTCTGCCGAGTAACTAAAAAGTTATCAGCATGATGGTAAAAAAGCTGTACATTTCTAGTCAAACCATTCTTCTGAAATCTCTTACCAAAAAAGAAAATAAGGGCAGTGTTAATAGCTATAAATGTGGGAGAGCGTGTATATTGAACAATTAGGAACAATTAAGTGGAACAATTAAGTGTTGATGTCAAATCAAAAGTACACTCTAAAAAACATTTAGACAAAACAAAAAAAATGAACGCAAAAGTTTGCAATAATATATTCAAGTTACAACAACATCTGACAAAATGAGGACAACAAACTTTATTGTTAGCCAAATCTTTTCCTGTTCAATCAGAGGCATTTTTACTTAGCATAAACTCCATTTTTTTAAGTGGAGAACTCAAAAAAATAAGTTGTTTCAAAAAGTTTTTTAAATTAAAATTGAAAACAAATCCAGTGTTATGTGCGTAATTTCATGTTTTTAAGTTTAGAACCTCAAATAAATTAAGTAGCTGTAATTGTTTAATTTTTGTTTGTTTTTTAGCAAATTTACTGTTCATGCTTGTATGAAATACATTTAACAACAGCATTTTTGTTTTTTGGTAATTGTTTTTTATAAAACAGGTTTTTATTGTAAAAAAAAACATGTAGTGTTCCATATTATCAGTATAAAAAACAGCAAAAAACATCAGTGTGTGGAAAAATACAAAACAACTCCATTAGTGTGGAAAAATTGAGTTATCAACCCAATTTCTTTGGGTTGCTACAAGTTAAATATTGTTTAAAAGTAATTGACATTTTTGTTTACTTTTAAATTAGCCGAATTTTTAAATTGATGTAATTTTCAATATTTTCCTGTTCAGAAAACTTAATAAAATTATTCTGGCAATTTAAAAGTTTTAGTCTAATCAGCATTTTAGAATTTTTAAGTTACAATAATGTATTAAACTATGTAGTGGTAACACACCTTTTGAGTTATTTTTTAGAGTGTAATTCACAAATACTTGAAAATGAAATGATTTAATGACAATAACTTGATATGGTTACAACTGAATTAAATACAAAATGAGTGTATAAAATGATAAAATATCAAATGGTAAAACACATTATATAAGTGTACCCAGCTTAAATGTAAAATTAAAGTTACCAGAGGTAGAAGAAGAGACAAAGGGGAAGGAAGAGAGAGACAAAGAGAGCAGGCCCAGAAGGTAGCCTTATTGCAGTAGAGTAATAGAAGATGGACTCCAGAGAAAGAGAAGAGCAGAGCAAGAGAGAAGCAGACCAGGAAAAGACAGGTCAGGCAAAGAGACAGCAGCGTTTTACAGTTATTTTGTATCTTTCTTGACCATCCCTACTGAAAAAAAAACAGCTTAAACCAGCCTAGCTGTTGGTTGGTTTTAGCTGGTCGACCAGGCTGGTTTTAGAGGGGTTTTAGCCATTTCCAGGCTGGTTTCCAGCCATTTCCAGCCTGGTCTTAGCTAGACATGCTGGGAGATGACCAGCTAAAACCAGCTTGACCAGCCTAGCCAAGCTGGGAGCCCAGCCAAAACCAGCTATGTCCAGCTTAAACCAGGCAGGAAATGGCTGGAAACCAGCCTGGAAATGGCCAAAACTCCTCTAAAACCAGGCTGGTCAACCAGCTAAAACAAACCAACCAGCCTAGGCTGGTTTAAGCTGGATTTTTCAGCAGGGATGTGACTAAACCCCAAATGCTGAGAGATTCAAACTGACACATCAACATGTGACCACATCATAAAACCCCCAATGTCAACATACCAGGCCCTGATCTTAGCAGTATCTGCCTTTGGAGTCAGTATGGACCTTCTTGAGTCATGTTTTGTCATATAAACAAGTGCATATGATAATTTAGCCTCTTACAATAATAACATGACCTCTCAGAAATGTAGAATATGGACCAATCGTTCGCTTTTTTTAATGTCTGATCATCTTGTTTAATCCTGTCCCTTTTCGCGACGCCGTATGACAGAATTTCGCAAGCTCAAACTCTAGTGTGACTGAGAGAAAAAATATTTGTAATTTTTGTAAAACATTGATTGGTATGAATAAAATGCTCATTTTGCATGAATATTTGATGAGAATAACATATTCCACTTTTTTTATGTCTTGCCCACGACTTCCTGTATCATGTTCACTTGTAATATAAAGTGTTTTGTTTATTTTCTGTGTGTCCAAATCTCATCTTCCCTGTTTTTCTTGAATCAGCTTCAATCAAAAGCTGGAAGTGTACCAAACACCTGAAGCAAGTGAGTGTTAATCCCTTAATAGATTTTAGGTGGCACCTGTGTCAAATCTGTATTCACCTGACGACAGTCATGTCTGTGTGCGCTCTTCAGGAAAACCTATAAGGTCTTTCAATCAGTGGTTTTCAGATTTAATACACAAAGCTGGTTTTGACTTTGTTAAGGAGAGGAAATTAGGTGTGATCGTTAAAAACTGAAAAGGTTTAAGCATTAAAAATGGTAAGATGGCAGTTAATGTTTCATACTAAACATGAAGAGTCACTAACATGCTCATTAAAACATGTCACTTTAATTGAATTTAGTTTGAGATGTAAATGCTGCTGTTTTGAAATGTATTTAAGCTATCTAAATATATATGAGCTTTTAAATATATTCAGCTTATTATGCTAGGAAATCCATAACAGAACTAGATAGTCTGTTTATTTTTTTCATCTCCTTTAAAACTAGATGACTGTAATCCTAACCTGTCTTGCAACTTATTTCCTGCACATGGTGTGCAGTGTTTCAGGCTCCATTTGTAAGTGTTTGGTCATTTGTTTGCTTTGTCATTTCCATGATTGATGTCTATTATTTCAAACATTATTCTCTCCTTTTGTTTCCTTCTGTAGCATGGTGCTATCACAGTCCATCATGCAGTAAGTGTTTTCAACCAAATGTTTAATCTTAGTTTAAGAATTGACTCTTTAATCTGAAAATTGACTTTAAGAAGTTTAATTAACTCTTACAATCACACAGAGTAAAGCATTTCATGTTTGTTTAACCCCATTGCTTTTCAGCATTCTGCTCCATGGCATGCTAGGCTATTAGTTAATTGAGGTAAAGTTGGTTTTCTATTCTGCTATTCAGACATTCTCCTTAATATCATTTCAAAAAAATAGTATTTGTTAATTCTAAATGAGGAAATCAAATTGGCAGCAAATGACCAGTTAAACTCGACGGACCCGGTACCGGGTCCGTGACGTCATCGACTTTCGCTTTAAGATTTAAAGGGCTAGCATTGCACCAGACCCCCACGTTTGAAAGTGTAGAATCTATTTTAGGCACATGCATATCTTCGGTTTTTATTCTACTGTAAAATAATAATTATAATAATAATAATAAATAAAAAAGTATTTACACTTAAATACGAAGTATTTTGGATATCTGAGCTAGGTATTTTACAATGGTTCATTTTCATATTTTCAATATGACACATGTACAAGTTATAGCTCAAATAAAAGCTCTTGCCGGTGCTCATACAGTTAAAGCATTGTTTTCAATTAATTCTATTCACATATCAAACAGTTGCCAAATGAATCGTGGTAATTCCATGGCCCAGATGTGAAAACAATACATTTATGATCAATAAGCAGCCCCAGATAGCACAGACAGCTGTCGTCTCTTATGCTGTGCGCTTCAGGGCGATTTCTCCTCTGTTTTTGAGGTGATGTGCATAAGTAATCCTTTTATATGCCTGACGTGGTCCAAACAGTCAGTTATGTTTGATCAAACAAAATAATGACATATGAAAACCATGATCGGTCCCTGTGGCTTGTAAAGCACGAAATAACTTTTGCATAGATTATGGAGACATTTCTTTAATTTATTTTAAGGGGTTTATTATAACGCGAACAACATTTACAGTTATTTTAAATTTTCAATAGTGTTTTATGGAAATTCTAAGGGTTTTCTTTAAAATGATACCAAATGTTTGCATTTACACCTCTGCATGTGGATTTGGGAAGCTTTTAACTGTGGGTAGGCAAAATCCAGGCGGAAATCCCAAAATAACAGCAGAGTTTAACTGGTTAAAGTACAACATTGTTCACAGTCAAATAAATTGCGCTAATGTTGTTTTGAAGTCATGTTTACATGCCATTTCGGACCAAATATTTAAAGTAGAAAGGTAAATAATATAGACCGTTAAATGAACGAATGTGCAAATATAAAGCCAACTTTACCTCGATTATTTATGGCATCCAGGAATGCTGAGGTCTTGAAACTAGCAAATGTGTTTTGGTGCAAATAACTGTTTTAAAATGCTTTCTCTGCCTCTCAGGTGAAGTCACATGGCCCATCATTGCAGAAAAACACTGTAACGGCACTCAACAATCTCCAATAAACATCGTAACCGCTAATGTCAAGGCTAATGCTAATTTGACCTCTTTCACATACGTTGGCTACAATGACAGCACTGCTTTAACTGTGATTAAAAACACTGGCACAAGTAGTAAGTAGATTTATTTTAGTTATTCAATTTTCCGCAAGGTTTTTAATGAATGTTTAACCAGTGTTTTAAGTTCAAGTTACGTTGGATCCGAAGAAGATGCGTGTGGCAGGGGGTAATCTGCCAGGCCGGTTTGCCAGCACTGAGTTTCATCTTCACTGGGGAAATGGCAGTGCCATGCCTGGGTCTGAACACACTGTGAATGGAAAACGATTCCCAATGGAGGTATGGTTAAACAGTCCCATAGAGTTCTGATGTATACACGCGTACAAATGAAACTAGTTCATGTTTGGGTTTTACATAGTCTATATAAAGTGATATTGGTAGTTTGTTTTTTGTTCATTTAGTAGTCTTGATGTTGGTTACCATGTTGCATTTGAATATTCAATTGGAATTAGCATGCAAGTATGACTTCTAAACAACATTAATGTTGTACTTTAATAATCATTGGCTGCTCATGATTTCCCTATTTAGAGTTTTCAAAGAATCCTTTTCTGAAATTAAGGAGAATGTCTGAATATCCGAATATAAAACCAACCTTACCTCTATTATAAAATGTCACATGCAACATTTTCAAGATATCGCAAAAGTGGCTAGATACTGTAGATGCACTGTGAAACCCAGCAGCTAACTTTAAGTAAATTCAGTTAAGGACTCATTTTATTTGATAAAGTACTCGTTTGTAAAGAGTTTTGAACTGCCAGGCTAGTTTCCAGCCAGTTCCAGCCTGGTCTTAGTTGGTCAGGCTGGGAGATGACCAGCTAAAACCAACTTGACCAGCCTTGCCAGGCTGGGAGCCCAGCCAAAACCAGCTATGTCCAGCTTAAACTAGGCGTGGTCATTTAGCTGGTCATTTTCCAGCCTGACCAGGTTGAGGAAAAGGCTGGAAACCAGCCTGTAAGTGGCCAAAACCCCTCTAAAACCAGGTTGGTCAACCAGCTTAGGCTGGTTTAAGCTGTTTTTTCAGCAGGAACATCATGATTTAAGCAAAAGTGTTCTCTCGTTTCAGTTGCATATTGTGAACAAGCCTGTCAGTAACACCAGTGATTCGTTGGCAGTTCTTGGTGTCTTCATTGAGGTATACTGACTTTTACTCATATTTGAGATGCAACTTAAGAGGTGGATGATGGAATTGTAATCTCACCCTCAGGCCTCTAATGAAACTGGGAAACCTGAGAGCTGGAAGACTTTAACGTCGTATCTTACAAGGATTGTCAAAGCAGGTGATGCATGGAAATGATTCATCTATGAGGATAGGAGTGCTGCGCGTCAGTGATGTTGATAGATCAATTGTTTCAGGTGATAAAGCAAGCCTTTTCAGAAACTTCTCCATGGATGATCTGCTTTCTGGAGTGGACAGGACAAAATACTACCGGTATTTGGGCTCCTTGACCACACCAAACTGCAATGAAGGTGTGATCTGGACCGTCTTCAAAGACCCAATTAGAGTCAGCAGGGATTTGGTGAGTAAAATGAGTGTTACTTTCCTCTAACCAATGTATTTTGTAAGAAGCCGTGGTCTTGAGTTTGAGCATACAAATTCTGTAGTACAATGCTGCCAGTTTTTTATTTATTTTATTGAAATCAGATGATTTAGACATCGATAAAGCGAGCGGTTGCTCTTTTACATTTCTGTACAGAGAAAGCACATTTTGTTCTTTTATTGGTGTCACGATCACATGATGCAGTTTTACAGGTCTGAGTTCACCAAGCTTGAGCTTCGGAGCATATAGGCATGTAAAACTTGTCGCAAGAGCTTGCATTTCTGGTCTGTCGCATTCACATGTGTATAAATGGAAGTCTATGGGGTGAAGTGCAGTGTGACCGTGGGACTCATGGGTTTATCCTGCAAAAACAACTACTTAGATGTTCATTACACCTTGTTATAGAGCTACTTGCCACAAAACTAGAAAAACAACATTAGCCTGAGCTGTAATTTAAGCTGATGGAAACAAAACGCTGGATGCGAACCATTAACCTGTACTTAACACATTTTGTGGTTTAGGGTAAATAAAACAAACTTTTTTATTTTATTTTTTTTTTTATTCTTTATACAAGTAGGCGGTGTTGAAACACCCTTTTTCCTCTGCTTGGTCAAACAAATCTGAGCTTGTGATACCACCCTCAAAATAAAATTTCTTTATTTATAGATTTATTATAATTTATTTATAGATTTATTATTTATTTATAGATTTATTATAATTTTTATTTTTTATTTTTTATATAAACTAAACTTTAAATAGTGAAAATAAATACATTTATTAAAAAAAATTAATACTAAGGGGCAATGGGTTTTGGTCGTGCAAATAACTATTAAAAACATGATGATGATGATATAATAATAATAGTTGTTGTTGTTAAAATAAATTATTTACTTATTACTACAATAGTAATGAGAGCAATAAATTAATAATTTACTTTATTACTACCAATAATAATAATAATACTACTACTACTAATAATAGTGATATTACTATTGTTGTTATTTAGATCTACCGTAGCTCTGAAACAATCATTCAAACCAGGTTCTGCTCTGAAATGGCTATCTTTGCTTTGTGTCAGGTGTACAGTAGCAAGACGCTTGGCAGAAATCTGATCTTGTTTTAATGACCAACGTGTATTAATTATAATACTAGTTTACATTTTTTAATTCATGCATACTAAATGTAAGCCTGCTAACTGATCAAATAATGGAATATGTAAATTTGGTATAAATAAATAAAGCCTGGGTGCTGATTCGGAGAAGACTTATTTTAAGGGTGACATCACAAGCTCAGATTTGGTTGGCCAATCAAAGGAAAGAGCCTTTCAGTGTGTGTCTGATAAATTAAAGTTGTTTATCTGTTTTCCAACCCTAAACCAAAAAACAAAACAAAAATAAAGCCAAATATTTGAGTTTTTTTTTTTTTTTTTTTTTTTTTTTTTTTTTTTTTTGAGCAAAAGAAAAAAGACGTTTTCCTTTTATTGTTCAAAAACTAATATGGAATAAATGGAAGATGCCTTGATTCATGCTGACAAATTTATTGAATTCAAATTGATTAGACGAACCGTTATGGATTTAACTTGCGAACAAATTTAACGTAGAGCTTGTGAAAATGGACTTGAGTTCTCTCTCTAATGCATTTAACGTATTCACGCCAAACTTGGTGGATATTGTCTCAACCATGGCCTGAAGTGAGCCGCAGCATTTTGATGCACTGCCCCTAGTGGTAATGAAGATATAAAAAATGGCTTTTTTTTTTTTTTTTTTTTTTTTTGCTTTTAATTTAACCCTGTCAGATTAATTGATCTTCTACATCTGGCTGAGCATACAGAGTCAAATTATGTCTGATATTTCCCAGGTCTGCCGTTTTGACCATTCTCTATTTTGTATAGTCAATTCAAATGAATGAAAATTTAAGATTCATATGCATAAACTTTAAATTGGACTAGAAAAGGTCAATGGAGAAACTGAATTTTATTTTTTCCCACCTAACACACTAGATTGATCTCTTCAGTACAACGGTCTACATCAACAACTCCAGCAACTCTCCTCTAATGACCAACATTTTTAGATCCGTTCAGCCAGTCAATGGCAGGATTGTGATGTCACAGGTAGCAGGTACCAAAACTCCTGGGCTTCTAAATCCAACATCCATTGCAGCAAATCTATCCCCGTCTCTGATGTACCCTATCCTGAGTCTCACATTCTTGTACTGCGTGCTGGCTTTCTTGTAGAACCACTCTGCTCCACGAAATGGAGGGATAAAAAAAAAACATTTACACTATTTAATATATTACTATGTTTGTTAACATGTCACTTGTCTTTTAATGTCAGTAGAGCTGGTTGAATGTATATTAATGTTGTCATGGAAAGTTTTGTGTTATTTGGTAATTTGTTAGTTCATTGCTCGACTCATTTTCTGCTGCAGTTTTGTAAAAGGACGACAAATGGCGGTTTTATTCCACGATTGAGTGCTAAAGTTCTTGAAGATGTAGTTTTAGTGATGGTGGTTTTTAGACATTTGATTTGTATGTGTGGGCTTTTAATGTTGTTTAATGGACTCTTAACATTTTTATTGCATGCTTTTGCAGTTTGAAGTGGTGTGTGTGTGGGGTGGTGGTTTTGGTATTTGACAATTTGGGCAACATGATTTATTCACTTTCTCAGAACAAGTACGTGTCATCTGTAACTCGTTGCTTGCTTTGACTTCTCATTCAAGGATTTTTGGATTGTGGGTTTTCACTTGTCACAAACTGCACTGTAACTTTTTTTCTACAATGTCACTTGTCTTCTGTGTCTGTGTGAATGTTTGTAAAAACAACAAAAGAAAAAATGTCTTGTTGAATAATAGTCAAGGAAAGTTTAATAATGTTTAATAAAATGACAATCCTAAACCTTGTTTGACTTATTGCGTCTGTTTCAATGTAGGAGAAATATGAGATTTCTAAATCCTTAATTATATGAATGGTCCAGAGGGGTATTGAACAAAAGATGTGGGATTTAAGTTTCAAGCGCTCCTAGCTACATTAGTTGTGCCTGGATGAAAGCAAGCTAAATTTAGGGTACTACAGAGATTGGCTGCATTCATTGCAAAGAACAATTCAACCATTCCTTGTTTTTATTTGTTGTGGACTATCTGAATATGGACATGTGCTAATTGTATATGCATGGTCAATTCAAATGTCTTTGTTAGATGGAAAATTGCAGATTAAATTTAATCAGGATAAGAACTCTGAATGAAAGGGATTTATTAGATTTTAAATATTAGATGAAATGGAAAAACTGATCAAATATAAATGATAAAAATGGCAAGGGTTTAGAATATTTGGTACATTTTCTTGCACAACCTGAATGTCCACTGGTCACATTTAGAGGGAACCCTGAACTGTTTATTAAAAAAAAGTGTATACATTTAATAAATGTGTAATTTTAGTTTGTTTCTGGAAGCTGGGGTGCCAGGGTTTTCTTTTTTTAATGCTTTACTTATTTATTTTATAAACGGCCATTGAATTAAAGAAACTTTTACTGTAAAATAGCATTATATTACAAAAATTTCCCAGAAATTTAAGCATTTTTGTAAATTTAATATCTTTTTACAGTATTTCTGTAATGGGCAATATTATTTATATTTAACTTAATATATATTTTTAAATTAATTTTTTTTATATATCTTTATATTTTTTGAAATATTTATATATATTTTTTAAAAATCTTGTATCGGTATGCATGCCTTTTTTAATATAATGTAAATGCCCTTTTGAGAAATATGTAAAAAAAAAAAAAAGCAACATTTTATTCCAGTTTAAACTTTTATTAAATGTCCAGTGTTCTCCAATTAGGATGTATGCAGAAATGAAAATGATCCCGACAATGGTCGGCTTGTTTATTGGTTAATTTTCTCAATGCACGTTAATCAATGTTTCTGTATATGGGAGAAAAAACAAAGAGAACGAATGAAGATTGAGATGCCTTTGACTGATTATTACAACCCAAAGTGTAATGTGGCATTTTATATTGGCAGTTTTTGGGTTTATAATGAGTATTATTGCAGCACCAAATTACTTGACTGCGCCCATGCATCATTTACATTATATTAAACCTTACTTGTCTTGATACCCAGGGTTCCTATTAGGGCAAACTAAACTAGTTAATGTTTGTTAACTCCCTGCAAGTAAAGGGAATTGATCAGTGAGTTACCAGATTATTATTAATTTTTTTTTTAAGTCAGGTTTTCTTTGTGGCTTATTTTCATAAATTCTGTGATCAATCCTGTGTTCTGCACTTACTGTATACAGGGCTTAAATTTTCACAATAAACCAGGCTTGACATTGCAGCACTGATATTGGAGCAACAAATACCAACAAATAGATTCGGATCAAACTAGGTGAAGATGTGGTTTCATGGCTTTCTTAATTCTACTTTGTGGAATCCCCTTCAGAAAGATATTAATCCCTGCCATGTTTTAAAGAGCACTGGTAGAGCTTTCCTTTCACAAAAATTCCTGTGAGAATTCTCATGGTCAGGATATTCTATTATTACTGTTTTTGCGTTAGACGCTACACCCACAATAATGGTTTCAATCCAACAAACAGCCGTTTGGTTAAAGTGAGCTTTAAATTTAGCTGGATTTTTTTTCTCTGGGATTCTGTAGGGATGAATTGCCCTCTGAATTTACATAGTTTAATTTGCTCTAGTAACTGGTGTGTGTGTGTGTGTGTGTGTGTGGGGGGGGGGGGGGGGGTCATTTTATGACTTCACAAAAGAAAATAAACATGATATCTTCACACAATCAGTAGACAAAAGCTTGTGTAAATGTTGTCAAACTGTCCATCTGCTTGGATGGGACCTGATTTGAGCATAGTTTTGAGAGTTTGGGTTTGTTTGAGAGTTGGGTCATAGTTTGGGTTGCTTTTATTTATAGATGACTAGGGCAAACACAAAACCTCAAGCTCCAGAACAAGGAAGCGTGGGCACTGAATGAATAGAAGAGATCACAGGAAATATTAAATATCCCTCCCTGTGGCTCAAATGGCTCAGCTCGCTGGGAGCTTTTTATGCTAGCTGATGTTCTCAATGGCCACTCGATCACTAAAGACCGAAACTTGTTACAAAACCCAGTTTGAAGAACAAAATAACCATGAATATGTGGGCACAGGAATGTTTATACAGTTTTTTTTTTTTCATAGATTATACTCAACCTTAAACCTTACAGGCACAAGATGTCAACATGACGTCAGACCTCGGCATCGTAGGGACATTGCGTTTTTGGTGGGAAGGGTCTGGATGCAGACCTGGTTTTTAATGCACATGCACAACCCTTCCCAGCGGCGCCTCCAGAAAATTGTCTTAGGGGTGGCCAGAAGAGTGAATCAGCTACGTCACTGGCATCCAATCAATCCACATTAATTTAGTGGCTGCTATTTATTTATTTAAATATTGTGAATTTATGTAAGGACATTTAAATTAACAATCAGCAGCAAAAATCATAAAGGGGTGGCCAGAGTTTACACAGGGATGGCTGTGACGTGCCACTGCTATTATATAGAACACAACATAAATCAGCTTTAAATCAGTGTCAATCTGGCAACCTGCGCTTGCATGTGCTTTGCAGGAGTGCAATACCTAGTTCAACCACTGGGTGTCAGACTTACACACTGCACCTTTTAGATTTTGGTCACTTTCCAACACAACCTAAAATCAACAATATACAGAATAGGCCATTTATGGATACACCTTAATAAAATGCTAATGATTGGTGATATTAACGTCCTGTTTTTAGCACATTAGTATAGGTGAGGGGACATTTTACAGATACAAGATGTGCAGCATCTGAAACTACGGACACTGGAAGCCTGTGCTGGCATTTCTCCTGCGGTGTTGCTGTAAGTATGTGAAGAGTGGGAGAGGAGGGTTGCATTGACAATCCAACACAATGGGCAGCACATTGAACATATTTTATAGGTGGTCTGAAACTTGTAAATAACTCATGAAAGAATAAAGTTACGTTAAAACTAAGCCCACCATTGTTTTTCTTGTGAAATTTCCAATAAGTTTGGTGTGTCACATGACCCTCTTCCTTTTGAAAAAAAACAAAAGTTGGATCCAAGATGGCCGACTTCAAAATGGCCACCACTCATCTTGAAAAGTTTGCCCCCTCACGTATAATAATGTCACAAACAGGATGTTAGTTTTACCAACCATTCCTATTTTATTAAGGTGTATTCATATGAATGGCCCACCCTGTATATACAACTAATTATTACAGCTTGACATCTTGTTTGGATGTTACAACTATATGACGTCTATCTAACGTTAGATTTTAGTTGCCATACCTGACGAATAAATGTCTGTATTTGACGTCAGTATGACGCTGGTCAGATTTCTGACGTTTGTCAGATTTTGGTCATTTCTCAACACAACCTAAAAACAACCAAACATCAACGTGATTATTGGACATCAAAATAACATTGTCCTTGAAAGCTGGCTAGGCGTTGAATTTTGGTCACCTGATATCATGACCCTAATCTAGATCTTATATAAATGTCTTATCGGTGTGTGACTGGTGGGAAATTTGAGTTCAAATAATGACAAAACCTTAACTTCTAACAAAAATTCTATTTAATATAAAATCTTAAAAATTGAGTTACAATTTCAATTCAAATTTGTATTGAAAAGACCAAGCATTATTTTGAGTGCAGCAGTTTACTGATCTGTAGTGTGGCTATGATAATTGCTATAATTAAAGCCAATTCTGATGGTTCAAAATTGTAGACTAGATATTTGTGATTGCGTTATTAGTAACAATCACAACCAATAAAGCCAATGGCAATAAATGCTACACTATTACAGCATGAGATCTCATTTACTTGATCTCATGAGTTGGTATACTGTAGCATTCCCTCAACATTTAATGGCATTCCCATGAATCAATACAAGCAGGTGGTGTATTCTGATGCTATCTTCCGTCAACAGACCTCAGACATCTACATACTTCCAATACTGTACATTCTGCTGCTAATCATGACTCTTAGATCTGTAAAAGATATTGAAAGGCTACATTCTTCTATGAGTTTACACTTATAAAAGAAAATAATTGTTTATGCGGTTTTATGCAGTTATAAACAAAAAAGCTCACCTCTCATCTCCGATAACACAGCCGACTAAACAGGAAGCAGCCGGATACGTCACGTTTTTTTCAAGGGGACACATTTGTGTTTTGTTCTGTGCTATTTGTAGTGCTTTTTTGTATTTGCATTAGTGGTGGGCAAAGCGAGGCTTCGTGAAACACTGAAACAGTCGAGGCAAATGTGTCGAAGCTTCGAAACGTTTCGAAACCTCACTCTACAGTGACATCTAGTGGTCATTTTTTATGTGTTGCACTGAAACAGCTTCAGCAAAGAACGATTGAACAAATTGAGGCATTAAACCCAACTTTGTACGTGAATTTCTTCAGGTAACATAGTACAGTGGTTAAGGTGTCAGACTTCTATGCAGGACTAGTAGGTTTTGAAGCCAGTCCAACGCAGTTGTTTTGAAAAGCTTTAATACCAGTTGGTAATGCTTTACTCTTGTATCGTTTTGTTTCAACATTGGTCTGATATCCGAATAAACAATTTTTGAATAAATATGTCTTGTTTTTGTCTTAAAACAGGGTTGTTGCTAGATCAAAAACGGTGGCCTGAAGTTATCAAGAATTATTTATATTATTCATTAAATGTCCCATTTATTGTATTTTATTAATGTCTACCCAAACCCTAAACCCAACCATACTGTAAAAATATTTATTATTGTTTTACAGTGTTACAAAAATGATGCTAAATTGATGGCGTAACTGCAGCTGTATCCTATTTAGGCTACACAAAACAGAAACATGATTAAAATACATAAAACCATGATTTCAGA